AAGTCAACCTTTTGACATTTAGGTGTAATACGTTTGATTTTTGTACTAATTATTTATTTTAAATTCAATAATTAGGAAATTAATTAGTTAGTGCGCACCGGTGTGTGTAAGGATAGCATTTGTAAGCATCAATTAAATTTACATCAACGGTGCTCTTTTCGCATTGCCTTTATTTTCATACAAAATCAATTTGCCTTGCAAATTTTCCAACCTCGATCTTAACATAAAATTCCCGATTAAAAGTAATGAAAAATTTATGAATAATTATAGTGTATGACTTGCGTTTCTGCTAGTTATGATTTTACATAGGGTTTTTAATTCTACAAAATATCCTTCCTGCTTTTCGTCCTCACAAGCCACAACTACTCACAGCTTTAAATGTTTTACGAATATTTTTTAAATGTTACTTATTTTATTTGTGAATATTTAACTTTGGGGGCATTTCTTGCCACTGGAAGGCATTAAAAACACATTGCGCGCAAAAACATTCAAGGCAAATGTACCGAAAAATAATTTCAAATTTGCAGGACGTCGTTTTGTTGGAGTGGACGGAAGAGGGGATGATCATAATTTCCCTTTCTGCTTGAAATATTCGCGCAGAACAAATCTGGCAGCGACCCAAAGTGAACGAATCTACACTGAAGCTGAACCATAAAGGTCAAATACGTTCAATTTGATTAATTCATTCCGTTTCATCAAAGTTCGTATCTCGCCGAATGCGGTCTTTCTTTAAATATAAAAATTGTGGGTGCCGCACATTCGCTTTTCTTGATAATAAGCTGCGTTTCCTACGCCTTCATATTACATTCTTCGTGTAAAAATATTTCTCAAAAGTTTTAAATAAAGAAAAATCAAAATGCGATTTCTGAGAATAGTAACTCTATAACGTTTTATATCTCTTTAATTTATATGAATTATAATTGCTTATAATTATCTTTATTTATATCAATAAGTATAGTATAATTTAAATAGACTTTAACTACATTAAAACATTGAAATTTCAATCCTCATGTAAGATTGACGATCTCGTATTTCAATTTAATAGAAGCAAAGATTTTAATGTTCCTTTTGTGATATAAATGAAAAATAAACAATACAACAAGGGCTCTTTGATTGATTGCATCTCTCAATGAACGTGAACTGAATTCCTAACATGATATAGGGTTGGCTTATCCCTCGCAGTATGAATAATGATAGGGGGTGAAGAAGGGATTGTTTGTTGGCAGCAGCAGACAAAATAATTTGGCGTTGATGGTGAGAGGATAAATAATAAACGTGTGCAAAAACCACAGCTCACTTCTTTCGCCGCCACTCCTCATTAAAATTCCAGCAAGGGAGAAAGAGTCAAATAATATTTGAATTTGCTGCAAAAAGAGCAAAGTTTAAATATAAAAAAAAGGAATAAAACAATCCATTAGACTTGAAAGTTTTCTTTGGTTTTCAATCGTCTGTTAATTATTTGGTTGTTGATGCATGATCATTTTATAATCATGCTAAGTTTAAGGGAGAATGGAGTATCTGAAACAAACACCATCTACAAATTTTTGGCAAGATCTAGTTTTCCTCTAACATACATAAAGGAAAACGTCTTAAAACTAAAAAGAGAAAGATTTATTAGAGGAAGATTGCAGATTGTAATGAAAGGAAATCCAGCAACTCTTATGAGACTTTTTTTATCAGCCATTGGTATAAGGTATAAATTCAAAGAGAGCACACAAGTGAAACTTTCGTCATAAAATTAAGGTAAGAAGAATCTCTGTTGCACATTAATAGTCATTTTGACCTCCCACTTTTCAAGTAGCGTCAGTTTGTGACTTTAAGAGTAAAAAAAATTTCAAACAAAATCCGTTCAGCATTACTGTGCCATAATATCTTTCTGATCTGATAGGAGGGAGGAGGGCGGAGGCGATTTATCAAAGCAGAGAATTGTGCTGCTGTCATACGGGAGAGAAATTAATCCACACCTTGGCTGCATTGACAACAAAGTGAAAAAGAGAAAGGAGCTCATCAGAACAAGCTGCTCTTTCTTTAACTACTTCTGTCACCGCAATCATCATTATTTCCAAACTCTTTACTTCATTTTATATCCTCGATTTTTCACTAATTGAAATTCTGCGTTCCAAAATTCATGTTTATTTTTATGCGGAAGCTCTTTCAGCCACAGAATAATCAAACGTCACTCAATTAATTCAAAGTTTGAACAGAGTATCAAAAATTAGATTTAAATCAATATACAGATTGCAGATCTGTGGATTTGTGATAGAAAAATATTTATCATGAATGAGGAAAACAGTGGTTTCATTGTTAAAAAAGACCAAATTAATTTTCCAATTAGAAATTTTAATTAAATTGATTAAATAAACTTCTATTTACGCTTAGAAATGCCAAATGCGTAATACGTAAAAGCTGTTTATTTACTCAATAAAACACTCCCGAGACTCATGGGTGAAAGTTATTATAGAACGTTTTTTAAAGAACGTCAAATATTATCTCTCCCTCTCGCGTTAATTGGGAATAAAAACATCTCCTTTCAGTTTAAGTTAATAGGACCAGTATGAAAATACGTTCCACATTTGATTGCTGTAGCAAGAAAAAAGGGAAAACCTAACTCGACCACTTTGAAATGAAATAAATCCACAAAGGCAGAATCTGTAGTCATTTCTTTCAGCAAAAAGTCATGCAGAGCAACTTTCCCTCTAAACAAAAAGAGCATTATTTCACTCTCCCGCACCATATTCTTGATGTCTCCATATGCTGCACCGAGACTGAAATAACTCGAGCAGCCCTAACAAGAAAAATAACACCCTTTTTGTGCCGTATAAGTCAAAAGTCTATGAGCAGCACTTTTCCTTCCTCCTCTTTTTTGTCTAGAGATTTCTCCAATCTGTTCAATTTACTTACACACTAGAAAACTGGTAATAAAATAAATTGTCAGCATTAACTATGACGTCATCTGAGATATTTAAGATGCATGAAACCACAATTCTTCCAAATTCCGGTGATATTAAATTTGCCCCAGAGAAAGATTAAAAATTTCCGCAAGGGCATCTAATTATTGTTCCCAGAGCCTTTGTGTGTGGCAAGAGATTAATGTCGGTGTCACCCTGCGTCGACTAGGGTATTTTATTCCTTGGGCCTTTTTCCGCGAGCGACTTTTTTGTCTTTTGTCTCGAGCGGGATGATCAATGGAGAGTCTTTTTCCTCCGTCTAATGCGCACCCATTAAAATTATTATTTTCCCGGCGATTCGCTGAAACGTGAGAGGCGACTTGCAATGGAGTTTTTGCTAATTAGCTGCGAGATTACGTCAGCTGAGGATTTAAAAGCGATCCTTGAACAGACACTTGGCAGTTCTTTTGCTCTCATCTCGTCTTGTCTATTTTTCAGAGAGCTGAAAAAAGGCTTTTAATTAGATAATGGAGAGCAGACAATCAATTCACCCGGCCCTTGATCGCCACTTACACCTTCATTCAACTAAAAACTTTTCAAATGCAACTCTTATAATTACAACAATGTAGATTCAGCCAGTTAACATCATATATTTTTTCTATATATTATTTAATAAAGAAACGTCACTAAGAGATTTAATCCGATTTTTTAGAATTTTAAATTTTTAATCCAATAAATATAGTTTGTAAGAAAAAAAAACGCCGAGGCACGATTAAAATAAATATTTTTTCCTCCTTTTAAATGAAAGTTTAGCAATTATTTGGTAAAAATTTAATTTTCATTTTTCAAGCAAATATGGCGTAAAGATTCAATCAGTAGTCTTTGTCCGCGTGAATATCGGTATCAAAATTAATCAACCCGTTCGCACTCAGCTAGAGGATGGACTACATTTAGCACCAGGCAGAAATATATAATTGCATTTGGCAGGCGGGACAGATGTGATTTAATTGAATTATCCTTTTCGCATTTTGGAAATTGGACTTTCTCGCTCCATCTGCGGCCAACAGTTGTTTTTGCAGCAGTGTTATTTTGTTAAAAAGGGGCCATCGAGCCACAAAATCTTTTATCGGGTCCAGCAGCAGATGCTCATTGTCAGCACACTTGACACTCGCGCCCTGTTAATGGACTTTCATCTAAAAAAATCTTTCTTTTACAAACCCTTTTAGTCTCACTCGCAATTAAAAATGAGCATCTTTCCTCAGTAACATTGAACTTCAAAAATTTATTGATATCTAAATATTCTAGAGAGTGCAAAGCTTCATAGACCTTTAGGGTGAATGGAAGTGGGAAAACAAGGCTCTACGAGAGTTGCCAGAAAAAAGAAAGAAAAATTAAAATGCTTCATTTCTCACTCTTTTAGCTCTTCATTTAAACTTCCCTGTTTGTGCTCCTGCCAGCCTTAAGTAGTGTAAGCAATGAAAAATCTCCAATATTTTACTTCACTGTGCTTCACACTGTTTTATCAATGGAAAAGTAAATCCCTCAACAAGATTTATTACGAAAAAAATGTTTAAAAATTGAGCTTCAAAATTCTGTTTAAACTCGATTCATTGTTTTTATTTTACATGACCAATTTAAAAAAAAATGTAATGATACATTTTAAATTTTTTTTTCCGACAATTTAACATATATTTATTTTCATGACACAAAAACCGTTTATTCCTTGGAAAATTTTAAATTTGATGGAAAATCATCATTAAAATCTTTATTTAACTTTTCTCTTTGTATTAAAATTTGCAATTCAAGAGTAGAGTTTGTTGCGCAGATGGTATTGAAAGAAAAATAGAATTTTAAATAATCCTAGTAAGCAGAGTGTTTAAAGAGGCAACTGCAAAATAAGAGAAAACGAGCGTGCCAAAATCCGGACCAAACGCGTGAATATTTTAATCCGCTGGAAGAGGTTTTTTGTGTCTCGTAAATCACGGAGCGACGCTTTAACCCTCGCGCATCCGTCAAAATTACCTGGGCCGTTGGAAAAAATAATGTTAAAGGGTGTTAATTAACCTCGGGTCTAATTTCATCCGGAGCGAACAATGGCCAGAAAATGCTTACCTTGCAGGGCGAGCAGCAGGACGAAGAGGGTCGCGTGCATTTTGGACAACTTTGGCAGAAAAAACTGTTTTCACTGGGTTTGGAGCATGGTTGAGCCGAGCAGAGCAGATCCGCGGCGCCGGGTGCGTTTGGCTGCGAGGTCGGTGCAGGACTGACAATGAGAGCTGAAAGCTGCTGCCGCCGCTACCCCCGCCAACCCAAGCGCCCCCTCACGATCAAGCGTTTATCAGTTGAAAAGATCGAATGCAGTTTGTAAGCGAGAAAATTGGTTATTTGATATTTGATTTGTACTTCTCAGCAGAGAAAGGCTTCTTAATACGCCTGGCTGAACAGAAAACTTTCCATAAAGGTAAAAAAATTAAATTTCATATTAACATGGAAATTTTTTCCCTTTTTACAGGAGATAGTTAGTTAAAAGTATTTACGTGGTTGAGTTTCTCCCTCTTACACATTTTTGCTCACTTCTCCCTTCAGAGGAAAGAACACCCGACCGCACCTTTTGTCAGTGGAATACAAAAGTGGCGGCGGTACAAGCAGAAGTTTGTTAAATTTGACGTTTCTCTTTCACACTTGCCGCGGCGGCACGCGTCAGGAATTTTTTATTTTTATTGACACATTTTGCGGCTCCTCCAAGCAAAATACAGCAGTATTATTTTTTATTTCTTTCCTTCTGTCACTTGTATTTCGAATAAAGGGGATTTTTATTATTCTTTTCATGTCCCATTCCCTCTTTACCGCGCTATTTGAAAGTGACATTAGACATTGTAAAAAAAATAAATGTATAACACAGAGACGGTATATTTATTGAAACAGTCTTTTCTAACAACCTGAATTTATTTCAAAATATCTTTTTGGTTATTATTGTTATTATTAAGAAATAGCATTTATACAAATTATTAATTTAACTCCCCCTTTCAATAATTCTGCAAACAGAAACTATAAAATGTTTTGTTTGGCTTTTAAAGCAAAAACCAATTGAATCAGTGATTCAGAATCACTGCGGATTGTATATTAAAAATCGTTGGATGGTTTCACACTGTCGTGCGATGGAAAATTAAATTTTGCGTAATTATTACCAAGTGTGTAAGGGGGAAACTGGAATAGGCTCTTCCGAGCACGATGGAAATCAATTTTGATGTGAAAAGGAGGCGCGTTTCCATCCGACGAGTTGCTGATCAGAAGAGCTTTCCTCGCTCATTAACCATGATGTGTTGTGAAGGAGCTTTTGTCTTGCAGCTCAATTATGCTGTTCTGAGGCGCAGCATATCAGGGAGTAGCACTTAAAAGCAACCACGTTAGCTTTTTCGATTCTCTAATTTGCCACAAGTTGAATTAAACACTAACAATATAAAAGTAAATTTTATTATTAAATGTGCAGAAAGTGCAAATTAAGAACTATATGCTCACAATTAAGTACATTTCTCTTATAAATTTTTTTGCTTATTCTTTAGGAATTTTACGAGCTTTATTTATAAATTAAAAATTCGTAATGTTCTCTTTAAAATTTAATACACTGTATTTGCTAACTTTTCTTATTCCACATAGAAATGCATTCAATCACATTTTTCCAGATGTTTTTAAACTGCACTGAGAAAGACAAGTTCTTGCGAGTTTAGTGGCGCGGAATCATCAAATCGTTATTTCTTCCTAGGTGGAATCAAGAAGATTTATGAGATCACTATTTTTTCCTGCTTTATACCATTTGAAACCATTGTCTTTTGGACAGTGGCCAAAGGGGGAGAAAGTTATTAAAATACAATGAACATAATAAAGCACTTCTCCAAGACAATCTGATATAAAACTGCTGATTTATCACATACCTAAAAGAGCATTAATTGCTTCTCGACATAGAATATAAAAATAAACCTACTTTATCACCAAAAGTAGAAGCGAAAACTCTTTTCAATATAATCCGATCTCTTGGGAAAGTTTCTGATCTCACTTTGATTATGCAAATTGACTTTCGGTTGCGAAAATCAGCCCTTAGATAATTACACATTCAACCCAAAAGAGCGAGGGGTGAGAAAGGGACTAGCATTATCAATTATCGTGGGAGGAGCCATGTAAATAACACTTAAGTCTCGCTCGCTGCTGTCACAAACACGTTCCGCTGCTAATTCCTTGTGCGCTCCCAAGTACACGGCCTCTCTACTTACAATCGATTTTGCTTGACAAACATCGTGGAATAATCCAAGACAAAATCAAATCAAAATTTCAAGTCCATCTTAATTTTAATTTACAAAGAAGGCAAAGAAGCATTAAAATAATGGATAATTAAATAAATTCCTATATATAGGAATTTTCATTTATCAACAATGGATAAGAGATTGTAATTGGTTAATCACTAAATTATAGCTTATTGTTTTCTGTTAAAGGAATCAATAATATAAATCATTCAATGAAGTATCAAAGCTAAAAATATAAATATAATTATATAAATACAAAAAGAAGAGAACTTAATTAGCATCGCGTTGTGTTAACCAAGAAGATTTTTTACAATGCAATTATTCAGACGCGTCGACTCTCTCCGCCGGCAATTAAGCCTTAAGCGGTTTGTCAGGAATTTGTTAAAATTAATTGTTTCGCTCTCGCCAAGTATAACGTTCGCGGGAAAAATTCTACGCCCGTTCTCATCTTCAAGTATTTGCTTCATCTCAAAAACAAACACAATAGATCATCTTGCTGCGAACAGCTTACACAACGCCATTAATAAATTAATTTATTACAAAGATAATCTTTATCTTTATATATTTATCTAATTGTAAAACTAATGAAGTTTTCCCGCTGATACAAAAACAATATTAAAAGAAATGAAAAATAATGTGGGAAGTATTTTTATTAATCCAGACGTATTTTTTAAACTTTAGTCATCTGGAAAAAAAGCACCCCTGAAATGAAAAATTTAATCTGAATACTTTTAATAAAAAATAAATATTTCTTAAATTCATGACAGAAATGAAAATTTTCCCGAGGTGAAAAGTAAAATTGATATCTATAAGCCTGGATTTGATTATGGCAATGAAATTAGATGAAGAATTAATAATTATTGAATTTTATATTTAACAAATAATCTGTTTCATGGACTTTCCTTAACCCTGATAAAAATTTATCTTCACTTTCTCGCTCTCTTGGTAGTGAAAAAGTTGGGAAAGATGAGATTATAGTTGTTACACATAAGAGAAGGGCGGGGGGGGGGGGGGGGGATAAAATATGAAAGTGTGTTTGGCCACCGCTGCTTTTTTATATCGATAGTTGTTTGACTCGCAAACTTGTGGAGTGCTTCTTATATTTTTCTCGCCAGCGTTGAAAGCAGCAGATATATAACTTTTTTGCTATTAGCAAAACACCACAGGACACAAGTCTCTTTTTTCCCTGTGGTCTCAAACAAATAAATAGCGTAATCTCTTTTTGCATATTCTCCAAAGGAAAAATACCAATGGGAAAAGAGTTTCCCAAAGAAAAGTCGAATTCCTTTGATATATACAAGACTGCTGTCTCACTTTGATTCCTTTTCTTAGACGTTAATACTTCAAATCAAGTTGATTGTTGTTGTTTTTTAATTCTTTATCCTTTTAATTGTTTAATTGATAAATTATAATATGGAAGAAATAATAATTGAAAGAGTTTTCTAAAAATATTTATGGTTTTTTGTGAATAAGAGGAAAATAACAGATTTAAACTTTTTTCTACGTACACATAATAATATTAAAATTCCAGGATTGGATTTCCTTATAAAATGAGGAAGTTAGAGGAAATTGTGTAGGGGGGGTCCTGGTGAGAGGATCAGATTTAAAAGCTGCTGCGACACAGAGGAAGGGATGCGGTTGGTTTATAGTCCAACGAGAGACGAGACTTGGAGGCGGATTTTGTAAATTAGCCGCACTGGATCTTATCTGGGCGGGTGCGGAAAATGTGTCCTTTGGCTGATGAAGAGTGGGTGAGCGTGTCCTCAACCGACCACTCGTCCTGAATAATTTGTCAAGATTAAAAGGAGGACAAAGCGAGACAAAGACCCCTTTGGTCTTCTATTATTTTTAAACTCACTGACCTTTTCACATCCCAGCGTAACCAAAGAGAAGGAAAAGTTTATTCAGTTTGAGTCTTCAAAGTGGATGTTACTACAATTAGTGATTTCTATTCAAAAGACAAAATTTTGACGTAACTTAAAAAAAATACGATTTAAACGCAGATCCTAATGTTGAACGAGGATCAGATAACCAATCCCATACAATTTCAAATGAATAAAAAATTCCAAAGTTTTTATTAAAACTAGATAAGAATGGTATTTTTAAACATAAGTCATAAATTTATTTTTAGTTGTTCTGTACATTTTATTTCAATTCCTTAAAATTGATTTCTGAGGATGACATTGAAATTTTACTTTGCAGAATGGCGCGCAAGTCATTGAAAAAGATAGTGTTTCTGTTGTTACCGCTGCTGAGTAACTCATCAGTCCATCCAAAAACTTTGATAAGTGGAAAAAAATGTCTCGCCCATTGAAAAGAAATGCTTTATCCACACACCCACACGTTTCAGTAAGAAGAGAAAATAATTTAATTTACAGCAACTCTGTTTGTGAGCAATAATCCAATGTAATGTAATTTTACCCTATTATACGTAAAAACCTAAAATGAAGTAAATAAATTATTCGCAGAATGGTGTTTTGGGACAGCACTTTTGATGAACTCCTAGAGGAATTCTAGGAAAGATAAAAAAGATCAATAGAATCAGACAAAAAAAAGGACCCTTGCTCTTTGGCTCAGCGGAGAAAAATTGGCCGGACGAAAACAATTTCTTTCCCTCCTTCCGCCAGCTCTTCTTTTATTTATCCAATTTATCCCCGCCGCCGATGGGTTTCTCTGTAATCAAGGGTTGTTGCGATCAGATTCGTTTTGCTATTTTAGCCGCTGTAAAAATAGAAACAACAAGCGCTTCAGCTGGAAATTGCTGCAGGTTGATTGTGTTTGTTGAACTGACGCGAACAGCAATGTCGTAATATTGGTTTTGTATAATTAATTCCAGTAATGCATCATCAAGTTAAATAAATTAAAGTAAACATGCAAATTTTCATCCAGCACAGTTTCAATCACAATTTGCAATAAATACGCAAATAATTATATTTGCTTGCGGTCTGAAAGTTTAATTGCATGTACCTGTTTTGTTGTATGAGATAAATGGATTGATGAAGTACGAACACATAAACTGAGCATGATATTTTAGCTTTCATTTATGCTTTATACGCAAATCCAATAGCAATTAGTATGTTTCTGTCGGTTTCTGTAAATGGCAAGGATGGTTAATTTGGGGGGGGGGTATAAAAGAAGAAGTAATATTTTGTAAAAAATACTATTTAATTCAATATCATCAGATTGAATATGCTTGTAATTTTTAATGTTTGTTTGACAAAAAAAGTTCAGATATGAAAATGGATATGTATTTATTTCTCAAACTACTACTGCGGCCTGCGGCATAAACATTTGGCTCAAGTTTCGCAAATCATTGAACTCAACCCATTTCCTTCCTTTCCTTGCCAAACTAGAACCGAAGTCGCGCGTCTTGTTTATGCGCGCAGAAAAAATATGTGGTGTTGTTGATGCGAAACGTGAATTATCGTTTTTCTTTCCAACTTTCATACTTCGCGTATCTTTGCGGATGAAAACATGATGGTTTATTCTCAGAGAGTCGAGTTGGAAAATTTATACGCCGATTTAAGGTGGGCAGCTTAAAACTTCATATTTCTATGATACCCTAAAAGGAAATTCTATACACATCTTTAAGGACTCTTCATTTTAGACAGGACTTTTGTTTCAATTTTACACACTGATTTCCTAATGTGGATATTGCGAATATCCACAGAAATGTACAAAAATCTTTTTTTTGTCTTAAATTTTGCTTTCAAAGGTAAGAGAGACATTTGGACCAAAGCGCTTGTTATCCTCTTGAATTGGGGTTATAAATCGGCGCTATGGGCCTTTTTCTCTACTAGCAGCGGATAGTGACTCTGGCTCTAAGTAAATGTCGCAAAAACTTTGCTCACTGCTGCGTATCTCCTGTTGTCAACATGACTGTTATATTCGCTTGGTATCTTTACCACGAGCTTTAAGTAGCCAAGGAAAGATTTAATAATGATCTTCCATCCGCTTTCCACTCACAAACTTTGAATCAATGCGGAAATCAAAATATTTTATATTTAAAATAAAACAAACAGAAATATATTTTAAAGCTTGTGCAACTTTGCTTCCCACTTTTAACCATGTCACGATAATCAATACTCCGAAATTTTCTCAATGTGTCAGAGGCAAAACACCCCTTTGGGAAATAGCGTTTGGTTCTCTAATATTTCCTGATAAAAAGTTATCTTGCCAAGTCGGTCCACTCGTGTGTCGTCCACAGAGGACCACCAAAAATTATATTACGGCTCTTCACGCAGCGAAACATTATCCGTTAAAGTGGTACGTGTTTATGTTGGTCTCGCAAATATTTTCTGACAGAAAAGTTTTGCTGACTATTTACTGCCTTCGTATTTACTTTTACAACTCTTCGAGCCACTTTACAACCAATCTGACATATTTTTGTCATCCTGTTTGATGAATAAAAAGCATTCATTTTATAGCCGGGATAAAGTATTTCGGTACTCCAGGTGAACGGCAGCGATCCGCTTCGCAGAGTCAGCAGAAATGTGATTCCTTATTGATTGAAATTAGATGAGGGCTGACGTCCTTCTCTCGCCTCTTGAGAGAAAAAGTTTTCTTTTCCTCTCAAAAGGCCCAAATGGGACGCAATAATACCGTGAAATAAAAGGAAAACGATCTGAGCTGAGAACGCATCGTGTCAATCTTTGACACCCTTTGCAAAAACACCGATCAGTAATTTTCAAAAACGCGACGCAGGTACGGATTGTAGTACAATAATCTCTCTTAACAATTTATGCGGTATTTAAGATAAATTTTCTGCTACGAAAGTTAAATTATTTTTTTGCTTTATCTATACATAGTAATGCCAGTAATGTAATATGATTCATTATTTTTAATAACATAACATTTGTTTTAGAAAAATGTATATATTTTGCAATAAAAATTAAGTATTAACAAAAACTTTGCACACAAATATTTAAGCACTTTTTTTAATATTTTATTAAAATTATTTTCAAAATACTTTTGGCTGCCGTTTTTATAATTCTACTGTGCAGTGCCATTGCACCAAATGAAAAGAGGACGAGACAAATCATTTTCCGAGTGGCATTTGTCAACAAATCCCCGTGAGAAATCTCAGCCAGTTTGTGCTAGTTCTGACAGTGCGAGGAATAAAAAAGTCGGTCCAGTCCGTCCCTGGGGCGAACTCTTTTCTTTCCCGGCCTCTCCGCGACGAGCGCTTTTTTCTGTGTCAATCCTTTTCCATTAGCCAGAAAGTCAAACGAGCTCCGCAGAAAATTTCCTTTCATACCAAGCGATAAATAAATCCACCCAACGTTAAATATGCAGCAGAAACTGGCTTTGTTTATTTATCTGGTGTTAGACACATTTGCAAAAGCACTCAGAAGAACAAGAGAAACACAATTTTGCCATCAAAGATCCTCCTTCTCCCTCGGCGCCTCTCGCAGCCGCACTTTGTGATATCACCCATTTCCATCCAAACATTTGTCGCCGCCTATCAAAATATCACTTGGGAGTCGCTGACAAAATAGCGCTTTGCATGAGTAGGACATTTTGTAACTGTTCAGTAAGTGAGATATATTAAGAGGAAAAAAGATATGAAAATGCGCAGTATAAAATATAATATAACATGGCAAAAATGAAACATATATACTCGAGTCGAAAATTTTAGTTATAATTTCATCGCCATATTAAAGAAATATAAGCAATAAATCACGGAAATTTAAAAAAAATTTTTGAGAGTATCTTTTCGCACGCAAGTCTTGCCTTTTTAAATATGTAGTTCAGACCTCTGGGTTGATTTTTTGATAGTACCATAACTAACATAAGTCAACTTATTGCCAAGTTTCTTGAGGCCATTCAACCCGTCGCCGCCTCGGCCACTTAATCTTGGCTGGGGAAGGCCACTTTTTGCCCATCAGTCTCGCTGCGGCGGAAATGAACAGAATTAATCACACAACATTCTCGGCCAAATTCCTTTCACCAGAGTGCTTTAATAAATGGACCGACTCTATTCCCCATTCCCAGAAAATTGATGCACAAAAAAAGGGGAAATTTATGTTTACCTTGCTCGGGGAGTGATATAATTTATTGCCCGCAGAAAAATAACGCAGAGAAAAACACGAGAAAGCGTTGTATTCAATTTGGAGATAACCGCGTTTTGGGAAAATTGATCACAACTGCTTTCATAAATCATATTAAAAAGTAAATTTACTTTCAAGAAGTGGCGTGGATCAATTTGCCAGAGCCAAAAAATTCTTTCTCTCCCTTTTACCTGCACTCAAGCGAGTATCTCAACACAATTTTTTGGCCCAGAGATAATAACAAACAGAGAATTTATCTACAGAATGTCGGTATGAATGATGAAAAAAAATAATAAAAGGGCACACACACGCAAGAAGGAAGGAAAAAATTGAATTTTCCAGTTTTTTTCTTCTCAGAATCAAATCGTCTTGAATTCCTAAAAAAACCCAATAAATGTTAAACAATATCGTTTTATTTCTGTTTAATTATGATTCAAATTTATATAAAATCTTCTGTTTTTCCATTAAAGCTAAAAAAGAATAGTGCTGTCAAAAGTTTTCCTTTTAATATTTTTCAGTACAATGTTTATCCAATCCATTGTTTCTCTCTTAAATGTTTGTATTTTTTTATTTAAATATGCATAATTTTGTAATAAATTGTTTTCAAAAATTGAATTTAAACAGCGTAGAAAAATAAACAACCGCAATAATAATAATGATGTGCATCTCCATTTGGGAACATATATTGCTTTGTTACTTCTATATATTAATAAACCTAATTATTCACTTCTGGAGTAGCTATAGTTTTCAATGACAAGTGCGACAAGTGGTTTCCTATTTTTGATGATTTCTATTGCAAAAGAATTAAGCAAAAGTTGTTGAAAAAGGCTAGAGTATGATTTTTCGTTATATGGCTTGCATTATTCATGGCCGTTCACTATATTATTGTTGGCTCCTGAAAACTTTGTCTCTACTATCAATGACATATCATGTGTAAAGGAATATAAAAAAAAGAAAACTTTTATTCTCTTTTCCGTAAGTTCATGAGAACAAAATGCGTGGATAAATTATTTGTATGGATTTTTAACCAATGTTTCCTGCAACATTTATGCAAAAGTGTAAAATAGGTTATTTATGAGGATTTAAATTAATCAAGTGGCAAAAAAAGTTTTAATCAAAATAACGTTTTGTTAAACTTATTCAAAAATATTTAGAGAAACGGACAAAAATGTATAATATTATTATTGTTGATTTTTCTACATTGTTTCATTAATTTATAGAAAAAAAGGAACGTTAGACGAAATGGCGCCACCATTAGCAAGAATTACGCTAAAATGTCAAATCGGATCATATATTATGCGGAGGTATTTCGGGGGGTATAAATACACCTACGCGTCTCTGGCAGGTTTTATTTTATTCAATTATGTATAATATGCAATGATAAAAAGTATAAAAAATTGACTCCAAATATAAAAAAAATATAAAAAGTAAGTAAAATTAGTTTTTATTTTTTTACATTTTCATAGAATGACGTCAGAAATTTGTGCGTAATAAATACCGATATAGGTATCTAAAATCCAATAACATAATAAAATTTTAAAACTTTTCTCAATAAATTTAAGCACAGTAAAAATTTTACATACAGTTAAATTCTCAGGAATTTCCATTTACTTATCAAGAGAAGATTTGAGGATTGGATTGTGCTTGTATTACTGAAGCGATAATGTACGTATTTACATAATGTACATGCTATGTGCAATACATGTAGCGCGAGCTCACGCGAGCTGCGGAAGCGCGAGTGTGTGCTGGTTGGCTGAAAGTGAGACGAGTATGCATGGTCTATGACTATGATCATTCGTTTTGCAGATATGAGCAAGATTGGAGTCATCAGTTCATCGTTCACCAGCATCATATTTCAGCATTCAGCATTGGGAAAGGGGAGAGCACGGAGACGGAGTTGAAATTAATGTGCCGCTCCTGCTCATTTCGACGAAAATACAAAAGCAAGCGCTGCTGTCAAGGCGAGATCGCAAGATGTTCAAGTTTCCATTCCGATCGCAGGTAAAATATTTTTGCATTTTATATTTATTTTTCCCATAATTTCCCTCGCCGGACGCCGGATCTCTTTTCTCTTCGGAAAGAATATTTAAATGCAGAATATTTGGATGGGTTAAAAGCTGCAGTGAAATAATATATTATGTTTCATAATTTGGTGATTCCCCAAAATTTGTCAACTTGGCAAAATACATTAAAACTTAAAACTTAAATTTCTGTGTGTATAAACTAACGTTTAGCAAATTTTTAAATTCTTTTATGAGCATAGTTTGCATTTAATAATTTTTTTCAAGCTTCTGTTGATTTGTTTTTATATTTAAACTCGCACAAAACTAACGCATTTTTTTTAGTAATGCACATAAACAGTTTTGACGAAAATTTCTGACATTTTTTGGAATCGCAGAGTTGAATGTTTGAAATAAAAATAAATTAATGTTAATACATACAGAACAACGTAATAAAGTCACATTTTCGGTGAATTTTTTTATTCTATTTCTTCATATCTGTAAACTAAATCATTGTTATTTTCAAACTTTTTGTCATTTAATTTCGCTTTTGCAAAAAATAAAGCAGTAATCTGTTAATAGATAACAATTATATGCATTGTTGGCAATTTGCAGGATAGAAGAAGGAGTGATTTTCCTGGAAGCAGCAGGCGCCATGGGCGTTCTGGTTCCGCAAATTTAATCATGGTAAGCCTAAATCTGGTACAGATGTGCATGCAATCCCATAAATGTAATTTTTCAACTTATATTCTTGTGCTTTTTTGTTTGGTCTTTATGCCAATTCATACTTTCTGGGAGCTATATAAATGAATAAATAATGTTCTGGTCCATAATTATTTCTTTCAAAGGGAAGGATTTCAATTCCAAAATATTTTTATAAATATCATATTGTTGTAAAATTTAAATCAATTATTATTTTGATAAGTGATTTGAAAAGTTTTTCTTGACTAATATCATTCTACCAATTGAAAACTAGTTTTTTTCTGAATAAAATTTATTGATTACAATTATTTATTATTATGACTATATTATTGTAATTGTATAATTCATCAATTGCAAAGCTTTGTTCATTGCGGTTATTTGCTTTCTATCTATTCAACAATTGAAAATTAGCTTTGTGAAAAATATACAATTTGGCTTCTTTTTTTGCAGGAAGACACTGACTACAAAAAAATTAGTGTCTTTCCGACCTTTGGAGAACTGGTGGAATCAAAAGAAGTAAAGCTGAAACCAAACATCATTCAAGGACCCTACAAGAGTATTCAGCAGTACTTGGACATCCACTTCAGACTCTTTAGAGAAGATTTTGTTTCACCCTTTCGAAAGGGAATTCAAGTCCTGGTTCGCAACAGCAACGCTAGATTCCCACCCTCGGACGTCAGGTTGTACAAAAATGTGAAGTATTTGGATTCTGCACATGAGAAGTATCTTCCCTTTGAAGAACGGTGCAAGTTTTGCAAAGATGATTATCATTTGGTTCGTTTTGGCTCACTTGACAGCCGAAAGAGTGGTGATGATTTAGCCCAGTCCAAAATTTTCATGGTTGGATCACTGGTCTGTTTCACCAGCAACAACTTTCGAACCCTGACTTTTGCCACTGTCAAGTGCAGGGAGAAAGAGCACCTGTCCAAATCTCAAATTGTTGTCCAATTCTGCCATAGTCAAATACTGGACAAGAACAGCTCCTACATGATGATTGAAAGTGAAGCCTTCTTTGAGCCGTACTACCAGGTAAAAATTTTTATTGAGGCAGTTACATTATGTATTTTGTATCCAACATTATTCAGGTGCTAACGGCCCTTAAAGAAATGAAAGAGGAGGATTTCCCCTTTCCACAATACATCATCAAAGTTCAGAAAGAGGATGCTTTGCCTTGTTACCTTCGAAGTAGAGGCCCTGTTTACATTTCAGTCTCTGGACTGGAAGAGGATTTCAAGTTTGATGTTTTGAATACTTCTGCTTGGCCCTCCGCTGCTCAGCTAGGAATTAACGACTCTCAGTTCCGAGCCTTGCAGGCTGCCCTGACAAAGGAGCTGGCAGTCATCCAGGGTCCTCCAGGAACTGGCAAAACCTTCATGGCCATGAAAATTACAGAAATTCTCATTAAGAACAAATTTATCATGAATAGAAGAGCACCCATTCTGGTTGTGTGCATGACCAACCACGCCCTGGACCAGTTCTTAGTTGGAGTGCTTAAGTTCACCAAAAATATTCTTCGGTATGGTGGCCAGTCAAAGTGCAGAGAACTGGATGCCTACAATTTCCAAAAGCTGGAAGGTTTTTATGATGACCGTTTGATGCAAGCTAGAGGCAGGGAAGTGATTGGACTAACAACAACTGGAGCGGCAAGGGCTCGGTCAATGCTGAAAGATCTCAATTGTGAAATTGGTGAGATGCCACAAGCAAGTAAAAATAATTTGCGATTAATTAAAATTTGTGTAGTCATTGTGGAGGAAGCTGCAGAAATTTTGGAAGTCCATGTTGTTGCCTCATTGAACAAATGCCAGCACCTGATTTTGATCGGTAACTTGAATTTACAAAGCTATGCAACCTGCTCAACACATATGCCAAGATGGGTGCCTAATATATAACAATAATGCTGTATTTTCTTTAGGTGATCACAAGCAGCTGCAGCCAAAAATTGCTGATCACAAGCTGACAAACTACAAGTTAAACATCTCCCTGTTTGAAAGGATGGTGATCAACCGAGACAAGTGCTCCACTCTAGAAGTGCAGCACAGAATGGCACCGGCTATGACTAAGCTGATTGTGCCCCTCATTTACAAAACTCTGAAGGACCATGAAAGTGTTCTACGAAAGCCTAAACCAAAAAGTTTGGTCAATAGAGTTTCATTTGTCACTCACAAGTTTCCTGAATCGCAGGTAAATTCTGTATTTTATCCTGATGTATGAAAAAATTGTAAGTTAAAAAATTTTCATCAGTTCAAAAATGGCCATAGCAAGATGAATGAGCACGAAGCTACTTTCTTGGTTGCCCTTTGCAAACACCTGCTGAAGCAGGATGGCTACAAACCTGATGACGTCACTATCCTCACCACCTACAAAGGCCAAATGTTTCATATCAAAGATGTGAGTTGATTTTTATAAGTTCATAATTTTTTGTTAATTGGTAAAAAAATGCAGATCATCAGTAATGACGAATCGGAGCAAGCCTTGGATTTGTCATATGTCCGAGTTGCAGTAGTGGACGATTACCAAGGGGAAGAATGCAACATCATCCTCTTGTCTTTGGTGAGGGGAAACCACAATGGAAACATCGGCTTCTTGGCAAATGAGAACAGGGTGTGCGTAGCTTTGTCCAGGGCAAAGCATGGAATTGTGATTGTTGGTGACATGGACACCCTGTCCAGCAAAGCTCAGGTCTGGAAGTCCATCAAGGACTCTCTTCAGGAACAGAGAGCACTCGACACTTCTTTGACCCTTAGGTATACTTTTTCAAAAAACGTGAAATTTGAGACTTTGATTTGTTAAGTTTGGTCTAAAAATGCGTAAATTTTGTTGGAATTAATAGATGCGAGGCCCATCCACAATGCATCTTCAGGGTGCAGAATGCAGCTGATTTCCAGAGGCTGGCACCTTTTGGAGGCTGCAATGAGAACAACTGCTTCGTGTTGATGGACTGTGGCCACATTTGCAAGGCAAAGTGCCACACAAGTTCGACGGAACACAACATTTGCACAGAGCCATGCAAAAAGACATGCAGGAGGGAGCATCATATTTGCAGTAGGAGGTGCTTCGAGATGTGTGAACGGCAATGCACTAGTCTGGTGAGAACACAAGCTGATTTTTCAATAAATTATTGAATAAAGATTTTTTAAGGTAATTGCTACACGACCATGTGGACATTCCCTATGGAAGCTGTGTTACAGGGGCATTTATGATAGTCTGTGCAAAGCAGTTTGTAACAAAAAACTTTCCTGTGGACACAACTGCAAGAAAATGTGCCACAAAGCCTGCTCTCCATGTGAGCTATGCCACGTGGACTCTCTCAATTTTGACAGTATTGGAATTTAACTGCAAAGTTTAAAATTCCGGTTTTCAAAGAAAATTTCAATAAAAAAATAAATATGAACATGAACAATGCGGTTTTATTTACTTAGCTAATATCTAATCAAAATTTAATATCTCACATCACAGTTCTTGAACTCCCCTGTACTCTTGTCTTTAAATAAAAATCTTTTAATCAGACAAAAATAAATGGAAAATGGGTCTTGAAAAGAGCAAGCTCAATTCAGCTTTTCTAATGCTGTTGCCCTTACTTAATTTGGAGTAAAATTGATCAGTTAAGGACAAAGATTAAATAATGAATCGTTTTTGGCTAATGCATTCTGTTTTTATTGATTTATCGTCAAAAAAAGGTAAAAAAGACACGGAAAAATTGTAAATATCACAAATTTATTCGTGATAAAATTAGAGTTCTAGACTCTTTCTGCGTGTTATAGAGATACGAGTTTGAAAAAAATTACCGTGATTATAATGAACTTATTGATAGAAGTAAAAATAAATTAAATTTCCTATTAGTTTTCAGAATATATATATATATATATATATACACCTGACAGGCATCAACCCTGACTGTGGGGTCAGTGGTGAAGCCTTGTTGGGTGAAGCAGTAGCTGCCGATGATGGCCTTTGAGGGGTTGCGACAGAAGTTAGATGCACCCTCCACACTTCCCTCTGGAAAGTTCTCTGGCCGCAGCAGCTCAAAGTCGATCCGAGTTTGTTTTCATTACTTTTTGCAAGTATAAAAATATCAACCAACCACGTGCCGGCACATAGTGCTCCATTTCTGGCAAGACTTTTGCCCAAAGGTAACGTTCCATGTGCCCATGAAATCATTTCCAGTACCCGCTTTTCTGCAGTCTAATTGCAAAAAATAAAATAAAATTAATAGATAAAAAAACAATATTTTGAAAAAAACGGGAGAAAATGTTTGAAATAATAAAATATTTGAACAATGTTTGAAAAGTATGGCGTAAGCAGATAAATTTGGTTTGTTGGTCAGAAAAGAATGAGCTCATTTTTTTTTTTATCAAAGCTACTTGGACCATGTTGATTAACAAAAAATAAAAAATAAACTAAAATAATTGTAATAATTTTGGACTGTCTAACTGGCAGTCACGGATGCCGCAGGATTTTGGCGGGAAGTCCTTCTCCGTGGTGTAGCACCAAGGGCCACTGGAGCGCCTGTCCGGGTTTCTGCAGAAGTTAGACGCGTCTTCAAGCGAGGCGTCCGGAAAAAGAGAAACGTCCTGCAGAGCCCCCTTAACTCATGGATGCGTCCACGGTAGACAAGGGAAGCCCCTTGCTGAGGCTGACTGCGTCCCCTCGTAACCGAAGCCTACCGAGTCCTGCTTGCACCACTCACGGTGTCGCTCTTCTAGTGCGTTGGAGACTGAAATGCTCGGGTTAGGCAACTGGCGCGGCGTGGATGAAGAGCCGGTTGCATTATAACTATGGATGGGCAAAAAAGTCGGTTTTGAACCTTAAAATAGTCGACTATTTTAGTTGATTTATTATTTGAAATAGTCGGCTTTTAGTCGACTTTCCAACCAAATAGTTGGTAAAGTCACTTTCAATTTTTTGTTCTTTGGGGGGAAGGCGAAAAAAAAATCACTGTTCGCCAAAAGTAGCTAGAAATGATCAGAATGATCTGTCCGAGATTTGTAGATGGTCGCCAGAAACCATCAAATTTTTTTTTTTTTTCAAGTCCCGAGGGTGGATCTAGGGGTGAGGGGGTAAAAATCACTGTTCGCCAAAAGTAGCTAGAAATGCTCAGAATGACCTGTCCGAGATTTGTAGATGGTCGCCAGAAACCATGAAATTTTTTTTTTCAAGTCGCGAGGGTGGATCTAGGGGCGAGGGGGTAAAAATCACTGTTTGCCAAAACTAGCTAGAAATGCTCAGAATGACCTGTCCGAGATATGTAGATGGTCGCCAGAAACCATGAAATTTTTTTTTTCAAGTCGCGAGGGTGGATCTAGGGGCGAGGGGGTAAAAAACACTGTTCGCCAAAACTAGCTAGAAATGCTCAGAATGACCTGTCCGAGATATGTAGATGGTCGCCAGAAACCATGAAATTTTTTTTTTCAAGTCCCGAGGGTGGATCTAGGGGCGAAGGGGTAAAAATCACTGTTCGCCAAAACTAGCTAGAAATGCTCAGAATGATCTGTCCGAGATTTGTAGAAGGTCGCCAGAAAGCATGAAAATTTTTTTTTCAAGTCCCGAGGGTGGATCTAGGGGCAAGGGGGTAAAAATCACTGTTCGCCAAAACTAGCTAGAAATGCTCAGAATGATCTGTCCAAGATTTGTAGATGGTCGCCAGAAAGCATGAAAATTTTTTTTTTCAAGTCGCGAGGGTGGATCTAGGGGCGAGGGGGTAAAAATCACTGTTCGCCAAAACTAGCTAGAAATGCTCAGAATGATCTGTCCAAGATTTGTAGATGGTCGCCAGAAAGCATGAAATTTTTTTTTCCAAGTCCCGAGGGTGGATCTAGGGGCGAGGGGGTAAAAATCACTGTTCGCCAAAACTAGCTAGAAATGCTCAGAATGATCTGTCCAAGATTTGTAGATGGTCGCCAGAAAGCATGAAAATTTTTTTTTTCAAGTCGCGAGGGTGGATCTAGGGGCGAGGGGGTAAAAATCACTGTTCGCCAAAACAAGCTAGAAATGCTCAGAATGATCTGTCCAAGATTTGTAGATGGTCGCCAGAAAGCATGAAAAATTTTTTTTTTCAAGTCGCGAGGGTGGATCTAGGGGTGAGGGGGTAAAAATCACTGTTCGCCAAAACTAGCTAGAAATGCTCAGAATGATCTGTCCAAGATTTGTAGATGGTCGCCAGAAACCATGATTTTTTTTTATAAAATCGAAATTGGCACAAAATTTTATTTTTCCCCAAAAAGTTGGAAAATAGTTGGAAAAAAGTCGACTTTTCCGCTTAATAGTCGATTTTCCATCAAATAGTCGAAATAGTCGATTTCAAAATTGAATTTTAACTTACAATTTGGACTTCTTACATCTGAAAACGCGCTTAAAACACTAAAAGTCGCATTTTAGAGAATAAGTTGGTTAGTCGCTTTGCCCATCCCTAATTATAACTCACCTTTGCATTCGCTGATCTTCCAGAGTGCAAACGTCCCATTTGTACCGATCGAGTACCAACGGAGTCCAGAAACGCGTCTGTCCCGGAATTTAAAAAAATTGTTTCGCCTGAACTCAACAATTCCAGTTCCGAACCGAAAGTTCTATTTTATTAATTAAATTAATAATATATGAATTGTATTTTTATCTCTTTAACCGTAATTTGAAGTGTTGCCAATTTGAGAATTCGGTGAAAAGCGGAAACTCCCTTCTCTTATCTGCTATCAAACGCCTAACAGAATTTTTCACCCAGAAAACCTTATCCTGGGTGGCTCCAGGAATGATTTGGGTGTGATTGTTGATGTAAAGTTACCATTTTGCATTTATGTTGTTGGGGTTGGAAAAAGGTAGTTCCTCCTAATTTTCAGCTAATAACATAGGGTTCATTCCCGGGAAATCATATTTTTCCATAAACAAAAAAATACAAATATCTCTGATCCTAAAAAGCTTGATTTTGAAAATTATGAAAATATAATTATATCACTCTTACTCACCGAACTGGATTGGATATGTTCAGTATTGAGTAATAAATGTAAATTGAAAATTAAATTGTTGACACTTTGAGCTTAAATATGGTAAAAACGGATTTGTTTCAGAGAGTCGGTTAATTGATGGATAAGGTAATAAAGAGCTTGATTTTGAAAATTATGAAAATATAATTTTATCACTCTCAATCACCGTGCAGGTGTCATTATGGAGAGGCAAATTAATGCAAAACTTACGGTGCTTTCGTTATCCTGCGGGGCATTGTCGGGGAGATTTAGCTCCTCACTCTGGAGGCCATCTCCTTCTTCCAACTGAGCGTTCTTTCCATTGCTATCCGCAGTGTCCTCTTCACCTCCGGAATTGTTGTCTGAGGACTGATAAAAAAATCATTATTTAACAGGTGTTCATTATGGAGAGGCAAATTAATGCAAAACTTACGGTGCTTTCGTTATCCTGCGGGGCATTGTCGGGGAGATTTAGCTCCTCATTCTGGAGGCCTTCTTGACCATCACGGTCACTCATGTCCTCTTCAGCATGAGGACTCTGGACAGACTCGTCTTCTGAACTCCTCTCCGCCTCGACCGAATCAGCGTCATTTTCCGACTCGCTCTGCTGAAACATAAATTTAACTTATTTAGTGTTCTTCAATCATAGTATGATTTTTTAATAGCTTACATCGTCATTGGATGATTTGTCATCTGTCTGGACGCTGGGCTGGTCTACGTTGGCTCTCTTGCTTCCATTAGATGGCCGCCCAAGAGCTGCATCGTCACCCACCTCTTCTTGATCATCACGGTCACTCATGTCCTCTTCAGCATGAGGACTCTGGACAGACTCGTCTTCTGAACTCTCCGCCTCGACCGAATCAGCGTCATTTTCCGACTCGCTTTGCTGAAACAAAAATTTAACTTATGTTGTGTCCTTCAATCAGTTTAATTTTTAATAGCTTACATTATCGGATGTTGTTTCATCTGCCTGGACGCTGGGCTGGTCTACGTTGGCACTTGTGCTTGCATTGGATGGCCCTGCTTCAGAAGTACTGGCACATTGAGAGCATCATCACGCTGCTTGTTCAATTTGTCGTTCCCACCATAATTTGTGATGGCTTGGCTTGTGTCTTTGTTGTAGACATTAACTCTAAAAAATACATTTGTTAAAAAGATTTTCTCAATTGAGGTTATTCATTGCTTACACTAATACAATGTCCTTGCCATCGTGTTTTGTAATGCACTTTTCAATGTGTGTAGGGATGAAAGTCGCATTGAATGTTCCTCCACACTTTGGGCAGATGGACCCCAAGAACCAGCGACGACTGAATTTAATACCAGGAATGTTCTTGTGATCTTTCAACATCCCTTTCCTGTTTCCTCTCGAATTTCTGAAATGGAAGTCGCCGTGGTATGCATGGAACAGTGGAACTTTGCAGATACAGTGTCAAAAAACATTTTGTCGTGGCTGAAAGAATAACGTCGATTTTTTTATTATTTACTTTTCAAACAAGCGCCTTAAAATATTCTTACACTATGGCGGCTCTGCGTTATCATCGCAGAGGAAGAAGAGGAATCATTATGCAAATGCAAACCATGATCATGATCTGAAGCGGGATCCATTTTCAAAAGTTGCAGCTTTTGTAATCGCCGCGAAGTCAAATTTCTTAAAATCGATTGCGAGCTGAGGTTTCCGCGGAATCTGCGGAGGAAACAGACAAAAATCGGGAATAAATCGGCGGGACGGAGTCGGCAGAGGATAATTATGCAAGAATATTCAAAAACTTAGGAAAATTCTTAATTCTTATACAGTCATACACACGGCCTACTACTGCACCCGATCCGACGCTCGCAGTTGGAATGGAATGCCAAAATTCAGACTCGCTGAAGGGAGGCGACTGAGGCGAGCAACCGGAGCAACGAACTTGCAACGAACTTTGGTGGGGGAGCAGAAAGAAGGGGAAGCTGCAACGTTCACTTCAGGAGTCGCCGTTATTGCCCCTAAATTCATTTGCCCTAAAAACAAATGCCCTAGAATGAAATGTCCTAAATTTTTCACTCCAAATCCCCCTAAAAGTAAATGTCCCAAATTTTTCACTCCAAATCCCCTAAAAAGAAAATGTCCTAAAAACATTTGCCCTAAGTAAAAAATCTTGGACAGCCCATTCTGATTTCACTTATTTACTTATAATAAATTTGTGTCAACCTTCATCGATAGGGGAAAAACAAACGTGTATAAAAACTGATTATTTCATCGGAAAAATAGATTAAAAACCAAAACTTAAACACTATTTTGCCTAATTCAAACAAGCTTTAAAATATATTTGTATTCTCTAAAATGTGAACCAGGGAGACTGAGCTAGCTGCCACGATTCAAATGCACAATACAAAAAAACAGCAAGGGCATTTTAAACCCAACAAGGAGAACGCCAGCTATTGATTCTGTAATATTCCTTGTCTTAATTTTTCTGAATCCGCCTGGGATTCCTGAGGATCAGGCTCCCACTTTTGTCGATGATTTAAAAAATTGTTCCATAGACAATGAGAACCAAAAACTTTAAGTGTTCTGATTTCTGATACTTTAAAATGGAATATAGAAATGTAAAATTAATTAATGCAAAAATATAAAACATGAGAAAAAGTTGATTACCTATATTAAGAACAAAACGACACTCTCAACATATATTATGTAAATATTTCAGTTATTTGAAAACCAAAAGCCAAATCAGTTATTTGTTTTCCTTATTTAACCTTCATTGTTCAGACATGGAAAATTTGTCTGCGAAGGACACTACTGTATTGTATAGCTTAGTGGCTGTGTGGCCATCGCACCTAAACGCCACCTCGACCGCGTGTTTCTTCACCCTGGCCGTTTGGCGTGAGGCCAAAGTGCACGCAAACGAGCAGCTGACTCTTGAGGACAACATCGGTGACCTGCCGCTGCTGTGCCGCGCTCTCAGTCACGTGGGTTAAAGGAGACGAGGTCCGAGGTCATCAAGAACTTTGCACTTGATCCTGATGCAGGCAGGTATGAATGCGTTTCCCTATATCAAATTTGATTCTTTTTAATTCCATTTTTTCAATAATGAAGTTCAGGAACTTAATTTTTTTCTATGTAATTGAATTTTTATATTTTTTTTTCATACAATACACTTTCAGAAAAAATATTATGTATAGCCTTATATATTTTGCACAATATCTTGTATATTCGGAAAACCAATTGGAAATTTAATTTTTACTTAAATCATTTTGTTCATTATAATCACTGTCATTTTTTTCAAACTTGAATTTTGAGTAACGTGCAGATAGAGTCTGGAACTCTAATTTTATCACGTTATTTCTACAATTTTTCCATTCCTTTTTGATGATAAAACAATAAAAACTAACGGAACTAACCAAAAGTAGTTTATTATTGAATCTTTTTCCGTTCATCACAGATCTGACAGATCACAGCTTGCTTGACTTTTTTGCTAAAGGCGTACGTGCCATTTAAAACTTAAATAGTATTTTTTTTAAATTTGAGCAAAATGATATACCCACATAACAGTCTGTTCATTTAGTTTTGCGTGGGCCAATGGGCCAAAGCCAGTAATTTTCAATCAACTGAATATTCATTTGCTCTTGGTAAATATAGAGCACTCTTCATCTTCATACATGCATCATAACACAATAGCATCTCTGCTCCAACTCCAAAACGCCAAAAAAATCTCAGAATTCTCCAGCAATGACTTAAATTATTTTTGCCATCACATGCTCCTCCTGGCGCCTGTACACATTGCAATACGAAAGCACTGTAATTTTATTGTATTGGCCTTGGAAGTGTTTTACCTCAGGCAGAACCTGACCAAGGTGAGTAGTAGGAGGAACGGCGTGGTGACGCAGAGCAAAACGAACACAGGTAACGCCAACATGTCTCCGAACAAAAAGGTGATTGGCTCAAAAACCATAGACAAAAGTGAATGCTGCGCCGAAAACAGACCTAAAGTCTTTGGCGGGAGAACTGAAACGAAATTTAGTTATAAAAATTTTATTTTTGAATGGATAAAACACCAAACCGTGGATGTTGTACCAGGCAGTGATCCAAACGAGACCCAAGTCATGCTGGGTGACAAAGCAGCTCCACTCGCCACTGTGTTCGGGACGCACAGTCTCAATTACAAGCGAGTGGGCCTGGAAAGAAAAACAATTAGGAAATGAATAAAAATCAAATGTTTGTTCTGAAACAGCCAAAACGTTTGTTGAAGTGAACTAATAAACTGAACTGCACTTGATTATTAAAAAAAGATACAAAAATAATTAATTTGAATTAGGGAGAAGAATTAACACTGTCAAACCTGTACATCAGGATTGAGGGCAAAGTTCTTGACGACCTCATCTCCTTTGACCCACTTGACTGTGAGAGCACGGTACAGCAGCGGCAGGTCACCAACGTTGTCCTCGAGGGCCAGCCGCTCGTTTGCGTGCACTTTGGCCTCACGCCATACGGCCAGGGTGAAGAAGCACGCGGTCGAGATGGCATTCGGGTCCGACGGCCGCAAAACTACTAAGCTATACAATCCAGTGTCCTTTGCAGACAAATTTTCCATGTCTGAAACAATGAAGGTTACATAAGAACACAAAAATAACACACTGATTCCTCTTCTGGTTTTCAAATAACTGTAATATTAACGTAATTTGTGTTGAAAGTGTTGAGAGTGATATAATATTTCATCTGATTTCTATTGGTAATCACTTTTTTTCTCGTTTTTTTTTTTTTTATTAAATTCCATTAATTTATCTATAATCCACTTGAAGTATCAGATCAGGAAATTTAAAGTTTGATTCTCATTGTCAGGTGTGTAATTTTTTAGATCGTCGACAAAAGTGGGAGCCCAAGCCTCAGGAATCCCAAGCGGATTCAGAGTAATTAAGACAAGAAATAAAAATTACAGAATCGTGAGATGTTGGTCTCCTTGTTGTTGGTTAAAATGCCCTCGCTGTTGGACCAAGCCATGGCAGCCGCTTCTTTGCCGAGCGCCATTTCGTTGAAAACAGATCCCAAGAAGGGCGGGTTGCAGGAAAAGTTGAGCGCCTGGCCAGGGCGGCGTTTGAACGAATGTGCCGCTGAGTTATAAAACGCCCTCATCCTTCTTTTAGTTGCTGTGAAAATTTTCTTTAAGTTTATTATTCCTTTTTTACTTAAATACTTGCTGCTCTATAAAGTATAATTTCTCATGCTTACAGATGGAGACTTCTCCACAGGGCTGTTCATTGCAGGCACCGCTTTGCATTGAATGACCTTTACAGAATTTTCCAAGGACGGAGGGCCGCGGCGCCGAGCAGGTCCTTTCACGCAACCCGTGGCCACCACCACACGCCGCGCTGCATCTCCACTCGCCCCACTGCGACCAATCACCATCTCGCACACGGTCCACATCTATAATTTAAATCATTGTCTGATTTAAAATTTTTATATTGTGTATACATTAAGGTGACATATATAAATTTTCATTTTTGGAACAAATTTGCAACGCTTGAACATAAAACTCAAATGATGACCAAAACACACTGTTGAACTTTTATTCATTCTATTATTTACTTTTATTTACTTATTGTGCATATTATTTTTTTAGGATTAATTAGTAAAATAAAATAATTTTTATCAAGCCGATTAAACTTAATTTTAATTTTCAAAAGGTTTAAATAATTTTTTTAGTAAAATGAATTTATTCAATTAAATTTGAAGCTTTTCTATCAAACAATGCAAATTAATATTTTATATAGTAAAAAATAGTGGAAGGCAAAAAATATAATTACTGTACTACCTTAGAAATTTGCAAATCAATATTAATAATTCTAAATTTCATTCAATTTACTTTTGACTAAACATCTGAAAATTTTAAATAGTTTCAAATAAAACTTATCCTTGACGAAACTATATAGTTTTCTTTGGCAAATTTTAAAATAAAATATGAAAATCTTTACCTTGCGGGCTGCAGTTTGCGGACCAAACTACGTTGCCTGTTGCTGCGGTGCTGAAAATGTACCACATAATCGCTTGGTTGTGAGTCCACTTTACACTTAGCAATGGATCGTCAGTCTCAATTAACAACTCTGCTCCTGTGTACCTTTATTTTCACACAAATCAACAATAGAAAAATGATGTGAAATATTCAATGCGTGGAATATCAAGCAGTGATTTATTTAAACCTGATAGTAATATGCCGGAAGAAGAACTCTGGAATCACAATGGCATTGAAATTCTGATGCACATAGGTCTCGATCTCACCTTCATTAGTGATGTAGCTGAACGAAATCTGAAATATTTTGTCATTAACAATTTATGCCATTTATATAAATTGACATTTAATTTAGCCTTTTAACTTTATCTGAATTAATGGCCATTTAAAAATTAGAAATCTGTATTTTTAGATAAATAATTTGATTACAGTGTTTGTAGTGAAGTGAATCAAGTCGTATCCGTTTTGAAAGTCACCAAGCGTGGAGAAGGCAACGGAGAACTTGCTTTTTGGCAGCCCTTTAATGAAAATGTCAAGTTTCTTGGGCCGCGTAAGGTCGTCACGCCACAGGTTGGTGGGCAAAAACAGATGGGCACGCTGGCCGACCATGTAAGGAAAAATGCTCCCCTCCTCCCCCTCTTCGTGGAAGGTCAAGCACTCTGATAAATTTTTTTCATTATTTTTTATCTTATCTAAATAATGAGAGCCACCTTTGGAGGGAAGGTTCAGTCCTACGGGGCCGCCAAACTCAGTGGCGAAATTTAAATAGACCGGTGAAAACAAGGGATGGTTTGCCTCGTCACCGTTCCACTCCATAAATGGGAAAGGGTGGCTCTGGAACCCAAACTGCAGTTTTTCAGGGTTCACGTGGAGTTTGAAACTGGCCCAGTTGCTTACGCTAACCACATGTGACACCCTCTTCTGGTATACTAAAACTTCACCTGGAATTAACATATGATGAAAAAACAAAATACTTTTAAGCAGAGGTTGCTGACTCTAAGGGGCTCTCACGGTGAAAAAAGTGAATGTGTATTATTGAAATTTAAATGAAGGCTAAACAATGATTTTTTAACTATCATTAAATAATGCAAACTTTGGTAGTTAAATTTTCACAACTTCGTGGTTAATTAATTAGAGCAAAAGGATTTTCGAATTTGCATTTGAAATAAAATTTATGAAAATTTGCACCTGATTTTGGAGATGAATGGAAAAGCTTGACAGCGGAATTCTTGTCGGCGCCTATCACCAGCTTCAGCAAAGTTTCCCCTTTGAAGGGTCTGAGGAAAATGACGAGACCGTCGGGAACGTGAGGGTCCCATTGCTTGACGTGAAAGTGCAGTTTGTTTTCACGCCACTCAGGAGTCATGAAAACGCTGTTTTGGCCGCGCTCGCCTCTTCCTTTGACTATCAGCGTCTGAGAGTCTAAAATCCATGAAAATGAACATGATTTAAAACATGCGCGTCTTTTTCTAATGACCTAATATAAAGTCATAAAAACAAAATGGAAATCAAAAGTAATAAATTTCCACAATTATTTGCTTGAACTAAGGCGTTTTGAGACATGCATTTAATTAAATCTCAAAATGATGACTTAATTAGCCACATTTTTTTTAAAGTGCAGACTATGAAACTAACCAATGATGTCTTTGTGGCAGCTGGGGACCTTACAGGCATCAACCCTGACGGTGGGGTCAGTGGTGAAGCAGTAGCTGCCGATGATGGCCTTTGAGGGGTTGCGACAGAAGTTAGATGCACCCTCCACACTTCCCTCTGGAAAGTTCTCTGGCCGCAGCAGCTCAAAGTTGATCTGTTTGTTTTTATTATACTTTTTGCAAGTATAAAAATATCAACCAACCACGTGCGGGTACATAGTGCTCCATTTCTGGCAAGACTTTTGCCCAAAGGTAACGTTCAATGTGCCCATGAAATCATTTCCAGTTCCCGCTTTTCTGCAGTCTAATTGCAAAATAAATAAAAATAAAATTAAGAAATAAAAAAAAAAATAATATTTTGCAAAAATAGGGAGAAAATATTTGATGTAATAAAATACTTGAACAATGTTTGAAAAGTATGGCGTAAACAAATAAATTTAGTTTGTTGGTCAGAAGAAAATGAGCTCATTTTTTTTTATCAATGCCTTAAACAAAAAATAAAAATTAAATTAAAATAATTTTAATAATTTTGGACTTACTGTCTAACTGGCAGTCACGGATGCCGCAGGATTTTGGCGGGAAGTACTTCTCCGTGGTGTAGCACCAAGGGCCACTGGAGCGCCTGTCCGGGTTTCTGCAGAAGTTAGACGCGTCTTCAAGCGAGGCGTCCGGAAAAAGAGCGGCATCCTGCAGAGCCCCATCCACTCGTGGATGCGTCCATGGCAGACAAGGAAAACCCCTTGCCGAGGCCGACTGCGTCCCCTCGTAACCGAAGCCTACCGAGTCCTGCTTGCACCACTCACGGTGTTGCTCTTCTGCTGCGTTAGAGACTGAAATGCTTGGGTTAGGCAACTGGCGCGGCGTTGACGAAGAGCCGGTTGCATGCATTATAACTCACCTTTGCATGCGCCGATCTTCCAGAGTGCAAATGTCCCATTCGAACCGATGGAGAACCAACGTAGTCCGGAAACGCGGCTGTCCCGAAATTTAAAAATGGTTTCGTCTGAACTCAACAATTCCAGTTCTGAACCCAAACTTCTAATTTATTAATTAAATTTATAATGAATAATTGTATTTTACGTATTTCTATCTAATTAACCTTAATTTGAAGTGTTGCCAATTTGAGAATTCGGTGAAAAGCGGAAACTCCCTTTTCTTATCTGCTATCAAACGCCTAACAGAATTTTTTACCCAGAAAACCTTATCCTCCAAGAGATCTTCAAGAAAAATCTTAAAAAAAACATTTTTTTAACTAAACCTTGCAAAATGAGATCAATACAATTACCTCTAAATGTCCCAGAGAATCGTCTGCTTGGGGACTGGAGTGCAGTTGCAACACAGGAGAACTGAAAGCTCTAATTCTCATGTCCAGTTCAAAACCTTCAGTTCCACTTGAAATGAACCATATTGGTGAGAAGCCCAAAGGACTAGTTGCATGCGTCTAAAAAATTTAATTGAAAAAATATATACCTCAAATATTTGTTAGTGTGCGTGTGTTTTTCCGTTATAATTAGTGGGTTTATTTCGCACAGTTTCAGTAAAACCACGTAAAAACGGTAAAAACCTCTTAAAAATGTAAGAATATAATTATTTAAATTACTTAACAGAGAAAGAAGCATCAGAGCTTCCTCCTCATACACTTTATTTTTTTTTCTATGCAATATTGAATCTCTTCTCAAAATTGCAAACCCACCTCACAACATGACTCAGGTGTGCTCTGCCACATGGAGGGGAGGCCTGCGAGACTATAGAAACGCAGCTTTTCTTCTCCTATGTCCAAGGAGACAAAATCTGCATTCAGGCCTGCCCTTATTTCAGCTTCGTCCCACTCGATCCAAATTTCGCTCCACCAAGACCCACTGACGCCCATCTTCAAATGGTGTCCTCCCCAGTGCGCAACTTAATTTGTTTATTTTTTTATTAACAATTTTTTTTTATAAAAATAATTATATTTACACAAACCATTTTTAGATTTTCCATCCGATGTGGGGGTCCACCTCTGCAAGGTAAGTCCACCACCCAGGTGCGCAGGTTTGATCTCAAGTTGGAAACCTTTGTTGCCCTGCAGGTGAGGGGTCGACGAGAGCAAAATGCGCACTGCGGACTGCATGTTCTGAAGAGACGCGTCCCACGCTTTGAATCTGAACTGCAGCCGCTTTCTTCCGCCGAGCTCCACAAAGTGCGAAAATTCTGAGGCTGAGATCACAAATGAGCACACTGGGTAAAATTGATAAATTTTTTAAATGTTCGGAGAGCTCAATTAATTGTACTGGGAAAATCGCAAATTGGGACGTCGCAAGGTTCCATCTCGACCAGGTTGGTGTCCAGGTTTTGCACAAAACACCACGGTCCCAAAGACGAGCCGGTTGGGTTGGCGCACGAATTGGTGTCACTCAAGTCTTCAAACTTCCAGTGCTGACATTTGTTGCCTGAGACGGACGTTGAAACGCTGCCTTGATATTCCTGGCCAACGCCCGTCAGCCTGCAGTTTTCTATTTTTTGAATTTAATTTTCTTTACTATGTGAATGCAATTATAAAAACTAGTAAAAGAGTCTGATCAATTTTTTTTCCAGAATACTTATAACTATTTTCCGTTAATCCGCTCTAATCATAATTGTATAATTTGTGTTTTATTTATAGCTTATTTTTAGCAATGCTGAATTTTTGAAGCCTAATTTTGTTATTTAATTTTATTATACTATCATTTTAAACAGGCATGTTCTGATTACTAACAAAATGTTTAGGCAACACCCGGAGCAACCCGGAGTGATTGTATAATAAAGTAAACAACACACAAAAAGTCAAAGACTGATTAATTCGATCAGAATTAAAAAATATTTTTTTAACTCATTGTTAGATTAATTACCTAAATTTTGCTTGTTATTTACCTATAAAAAAATTGAGAAAATACACGCCCATAATAAGGGCATATTTATTAACTGCGTAACCAATTTAGAACTTGAATTTGAGTTATAAAAAGTAATTTTTCAAAGAATAATGTTAGACATTCATTCACTAAATGTAAATTCTATCGCAATAGGAAAATCAACCTTCGGTGTTGCAGAACGGAACGTTGCAGTATTCCCTTTGTCCTGCAAGAACAAAGCACCACGGCCCCCTTTCATCCCCGTCCGGGTTTCGGCAAAAGTTCTTCGCCGCTTTGGCTGAACCCTCTGGGAACTGGAAATCCTTCAGTTCCTTCCCGATAAAGACTTTTTTAGAAAAGATCCAAGTTGAATCAAATGTAATTTTTAACATTCTCAGAAAAGGCCCTGCTCCAGTTTTCGCAAATCTTTCCTGAGAGGGTCTTGTCAACGTTGCCCAAATAATCATTACCAATCTTTGTCAATTTGCAGTTAACGGCCGGCCACAAACTTTGATGACTTCCTGAAACTCGCAAATTACAAAAAAAAAAATTAATTTCTAGTTAATTTTTCCTTACCAAACGCCGATAGAAAGAGTGGAGGAAAGAAGATAAGCAGGCAGCCGCAGAATCTCATCAAAAACGGAAGCATCCTGCGAATTAAATTTAAAATAAATATGGTGAATCGTCAACGGCATCAATCGGTTTAAAGCGGTTGATTTAAAAAAACTCATCGTTGAAATGAGCGCAACAATGAAATTTTGGTTACTGCGTGTATGCGTAGGATTGAAGTACATGTAAAATGTGTAGAGCAAAATAATATTAGGTCGTGGCTCGTGGGGGCGAAATAAGACTTAAAACTTAAATCCAACCGATTGAACTTTACCTGGGCCAGGATGTTAAATTTCAAAAGTCGCTAGGTCATCCCCGGGTCTGAAAAGTCCTCCTCTGCGGCGTACGCGAGGCGACTCCGGCGGCGGGTCCAACCGTCTTGGCTATGGATATTAGAAGGTGGATTAGACAACAATCAGTTTTGGGCGTGTCTCAAATTTCTGTGCCGTGACGTCACAGTAAATCAACCAATCAGAGCCCAACAATCGAAAAAAGTGCAAATTGTAGACTGCAATTTGGTTGATCGGGACTTTGGTCACGTTAGATGGGCAAAAGTTAATGAAAAATAATTTTAAAGAAGTAAAAATTTGCAAAATAAAACTTAAAGAGTTGCTTGATACGACCCTTTGATTAAAAATATTTAATTTTCACGGACACCTGAGATATAAAAGGGTTTGCTAGGAGTAGTGCCATTGGAAAAATAATTTTTTTAGAAACACAAACCTTATGGGAAAGTTGTAGCCAAAGACATGTTCTTTCTTTTCTCAATGGTAAAAAAGGTGTTGAAAATTTTTTGAAGCACCGAAAAATTGGAACAAAATAAAAAATTGTAATTTTCTACAAGAAAGAATTTTTTTAGATTTTTTCTGAGATAGCCAATCGATTCAGCATGTATTCATTAGTCTATGACTAAAATTTCATACAAAAATTCGCATCCGTTACGAAATAAGAATTAAAATACTTCAACGGGCCGTGTTTATGATTAGAGCCAAAGAGGTGTCATTGGAGTTTAAGCTGTTTTTTCGTAACGGCTGCGAATATTTGTATGAAATTTTAGTCATAGACTAATGAATACATGCTGAATCGATTGGCTATCTCAGAAAAAATCTAAAAAAATTCTTTCTTGTAGAAAATTACAATTTTTTATTTTGTTCCAATTTTTCGGTGCTTCAAAAAATTTTCAACACCTTTTTTACCATTGAGAAAAGAAAGAACATGTCTTTGGCTACAACTTTCCCATAAGGTTTGTTTCTAAAAAAATTATTTTTCCAATGGCACTACTCCTAGCAAACCCTTTTATATCTCAGGTGTCCGTGAAAATTAAATATTTTTAATCAAAGGGTCGTATCAAGCAACTCTTTAAGTTTTATTTTGCAAATTTTTACTTCTTTAAAATTATTTTTCATTAACTTTTGCCCATCTAACGTGACCAAAGTCCCGATCAACCAAATTGCAGTCTACAATTTGCACTTTTTTCGATTGTTGGGCTCTGATTGGTTGATTTACTGTGACGTCACGGCACAGAAATTTGAGACACGCCCAAAACTGATTGTTGTCTAATCCACCTTCTAATATCCATAGTCTTGGCCACTTTTTGGCGAGTGTGTTACTGTGTTCTGTGTTTCTGTGTTGGTCCTTGGTGTTGGTGTTGTGTTGATTGTGACAAGGATTGTGAACTTCTTGGATTGTGATTTGTGATTTGCAACGCGATTGACACGAGCGCCGCCAGATGGAGAAAAAGCGGCGGGAAGCAAAGTGAAAAGAAAATTCTAATTAACATAATTTAATACATAACATAATATTAATAATTATAATAAAGCACTGTAATTAATTATATTTTTTTTAAATAAATATGCGGAAAAAATCCATTTTTTAAAATTTTTTTTTATTTAAAATCGAGTAAAGAAATAACATTAGGGTTTGCTAATTCTGCTGCCATTAAAAAATTAATTATTTTTGAGAAAATTACTAAATTTAAAGTTAATAAAGTTGTAGGCAAAGAGCTATTCTTTCAAAATGTCAAATATAAATTATTTTTATCTTGATTTTTTCTCTACAAATAAACGCTTTAAAATTTAAATCTGAAAATTTAAACTAAAAAAAAAATTGGAGATAGGAGATAGCCAATCGATTTTTTGTTTAATTTTGACCATATGAATTTTCATTAGAAAAGTCTCAGCCACATTATAATAAAATATAGGATTTTTCAAAATGTGCTGATGCGCCAAATCAGGCGACTGACATGATACATTATTTAAGAGCGCAATTCAAAACGGCTGACAATGAGACTTTTTTAATGAAAATTGTTATCTCAAGTCAAAATTAGACGAAAAATCGATAGGCGATCCCAAACAAATTCCCAAATTTATTTTCAGTTGAAAGTTTCAAATTTCAATTTGTAAGCATTTATTTGTAGAGAAAAAAATCAAGATAACATAATTTTATATTAGACGTTATTTTAAAGAATAGCTCTTTGACAACAACTTTTAATTTAGTAATTTTCTCTAAAATAATTAATTTTTTTATGGCAGCAGAATTAGCAAACCCTTTATGTTATTTCCTAATCCGTGACTCAATTTAAAAAAAAATATATATATAAAAAATTGGTATTTTTTTCCGAATATTTATTAAAAAAAATAATTCATGACAATGCTTTATTATAATTAATATTATGTTATTAAATTATGTTTATTAGAATTTTCTTTCACTTTGCTTCCCGCCGCTTTTTCTCCATCTGGCGGCGCACAATTTGCTACCCCACACTGTAGTACAACAATTTGTTATCACAATTTGAGATAATAATTTCATCATCTATTAAAATGGCAAACTCTAACTCAATGTGGTACCACAATTTGCTACCACACTGTGGTACCACAATTTTTAGGAAAAAAAATCTGGAAGTTTTATGAATTATGAAAAAAGCTGCTGAGAATCCCGTTAATTTGCAGAATTTATTATTTTTTGTGACAAATTTCCGCATATTTTAATTCCATTCAAAAACGAGTGAGGAACAATTACCCTGCAGCAGACGATGTTGAGCATGTGAGCGCGTGTTCCCAGTGTCGCCTGGAACAATGGGCAATGGACCCCCCCCCCCCCCCATGGATCAAGGTCCCGGTGGAACAACATTCCTACAATCATTCTGAATTTATCAATTGGCAAATTAAACCTTTAGTGTTGCTGAACGAAACGTCACGATTAATCGAACGTCACAGAGTATTCCCTCTTTCCTCTCTAACCAGTAAGTATACAGAACAAAGCACCACGGGCCCCTGCTTTCATCTCCATCTGAGTTTTGGCAAAAGTTCTTGGCCATTTTCACCGAACGCTGTGAAAAGTGGAGATACTTCAGTTTCTTCACTTTTCCTTTTTCCTTCACAACAAATAAATGAATCGCTCAGAAAAGATCCGAATTAGAAGTTCTGGTTTGGTAACAAAGAGTTCAATATTAGTGTTTATTGAAATAAAAAAAATATTATTTATTATATTTTTCTTAGTTTATGCAACAATGGATAGTTTAAATTATTTTTTTGAAGTAGACAAAAACAATGTATAAATTTGGCAAACAAATAATGCAGTTAGCCAATTCATCGTTGATCCAAATGCTGTCGCGCCGCCTTGAATATGTAATGAGAGAATCTGTTGCTGCACAAAAAAGCCCCTCATCATGCATCTCCCATCATCATCAGGCGCATTGTGAAATTTCCTGCGCAATACGTACCTTTCCAAAACGAAATTTTTGTTATGATTCATATTTTCATTGAGCCTTGTAATTGATGATAGTGCACTGCAGAAAGTTCCTTTTAATAAAAATTAGAAAAGATTATATATCCTCAGGCTTGTTAGGCGCCTTTCGCTAATGAAAAAAGAATTGTGTTGGTCAGGAAGATAAAAAAAAAGTTGTCATTTTTTTATTTTAGAATGTGATATATTGGATGCACTTACACAAAATAATCTACTTTTTAGTGAAATCTTGACATTTATCCAAAATAAACAACAAAATTTGGCGTCACACGTGACAAGGGGTGGATCACAATATACATTATATAATACAATTCCATCACTAAAAAGTAGAGCTTTACTTGGCGATTAAGTCAGTTCTATCAATATATTTACATACATAATACAATTACATAATCAGATGAATGTACTATTTGGTGTTTGCGTTTCAGCGGTGAATATAAACTTCTCTCATACATCGAAATGTGAATACATTATGATGACCATTTTTTTTCTCAATATCATTTATTGGCATAATTAGACATATTATTTTATTCACATTCACTCAAAGTAGCAAATTAAGGTGGAATGAGTTCGGTTCAATTTGATGGTTCACACGAGAAGTTTTATGCCACCGGAAGGTGAAGAAAAACCCCCGTAAAAATGATGGACTTACCTCAACTCCAGTTCTACTTCTGGAGCACCAACTTATTATGTGAATTCAAAAAGAAGGAAAGTAAAAAAAATCACTGATTATCATGCTTATTTTACTTATTTAGTTGCATAGCAAATTAAAAAATTTGATTTTTTTAAATAAAAAAGGTTTTAAAATAGGTTGGTGCTTAGAAAATTAAAATTATCCATAAGTTTTAAAGATTTCGAATGTGATTTTACCAATTTAAGTTTGCATTTAAAAGGCGAAAAAGAATAAAATATATGATTAGAACATGCACCCTCCAAATCAGGACGACTGTAAAAAAAGCCAGCCTTTGCATGTCACGTTTTGCACCAAGCTCATATTCCACCTTAATCCAGAGTTTCAATTAAATCGTGTGACTCAATCGGTGCGCAGTCATTGACTTTTGATGCATGTAGTTAATGGCTCATTAACAGTTGAGTCACAGCAGCAAACGAGTTCACTTGGTTGTCCCGCAGACAGTCCAAGGCTCCTCGAAAATCCATCGCGGGATATCGCGTTGGGAATCGGGAAAATGGAGCCGCGCTACACGCAATCGACTCATCTCACTTTTCTCGCGACGAATATCGCGTTGCAGCAAATAATCGCGCAGAGAGACAGATATATGAATGAATGGAAAAAATGTATATTATGTCTCTTTTACTTTTACTCTCAGAGCTGAAATGCCCCCGGGGTGGCGATGCAAAAGGGGGTCAAGTGACGTAATAATGACCGACCGCGGCTCTATAGCTATTCCAGATCAGACTGTAGCGCGCCTGCTTGTGCTCAGGTAAAAAATCAACTCCTCTCGCACCAAGGTCACCCTCTTAATTCTCTCTCATTTAATTTCCTCAAAATGGGAAACTCTGGATTTTGCACTAGGTTCCACTTGCACACAAAATAATGAAGAAGTTTCCCTGCTTTTCTGGCTTAAATCTTAACATAATTATGTGTCTAAAAACTTCACAATCATTAAAATTTGGTCCGAAATTAATACATTATATATTTAAAACGCTTAGATAAAAGAACGTAGCCTCACTTTATACAGTTTTAAATCATAAAAAAAATACATGCGCCTCCAACAACTATGTTTGCATGGGTGTAATATAATAGAAGTTGTCAATCACTGGAGACAAAAATAAATTAACTAAAAATGCGTTGAGCACGCAGCGCTGCCCCGATTAAAATTACAAAGATCTATCCCTGCGTGGTTGGGCGAAAAGTCTAAAAGTCGTACGAGTTGGCCTCTCCATCGCCTTTTCGCACCTTGAACAGCAACTTGTAGAGCAGTCCAGCGACGACGCCGCCGGTGATGGGACCGGCCCAGTAGATCTGCAACACGCACATCAACTCTCTCAATTTATGCATAAGTAAAAGCTGTTGTTCCTCGAATTTTATTTAGAAATACTTATACAGGGAAAGATTTCTGTTGCACAAAGATGTTAAAAATAAATAAGATAAGGAATAATGAGAAATTTTCAGTTGAAAAATTTTTTATCGTCAAAATCTGCACAAAATGAGAATCAAACATTTCAATATTTGACGTCTCAAGTCTCACAAGCTCATAAAATTTAACGGAAACCAACTAAATATTTGAAAAACCAATATTTTAAGAAACCTGAGCTTTTATATTTAATAGTATTTTGTTGAAATTTAAAAAAAAGGTAGGCATAGTAAAAGTTTAAACTGTCTTCAACTGATAAAATAATTAAATAACTTCTACAAAAAAATGTTGATATTTTACTTATCACTGAATGATAAAATTTTAATTAACATCACTTGTCTTCATGCAAGTTGACAGGACAAAAAAGAGTTTGACTTTTATTTAAAGTATACACAGACACTTGAAAAGTCCGTTTTACTTATGAAGTACTTGAATTTATTAAGAAACGAAATCAATTGTGCTAAAATTTCAAGGTGAGTTGATAAGATTGCTGCAAACTTACCCAGTGGTTATCCCAGAAACCAGTGACAACGGCAGGTCCAAAGGTTCTGGCGGGGTTCATGCTGGAGCCAGTGTAATTGATCTGTAAAAAAATTTTGAGCAGATTATTTTCTGTAAATAATACAGATGAAGTGCAAAAATTGGATGACGTCAAGCCATATTTTAAAAAGAAAATCTGCGCGTTCTACTTTTAATCACGCGATTTTTTGCTGATTGGCAAAAAAATGTTGGAATTAAAGGTGCTCGTCGTCGAAGACCTTGACTCGGTTAAACTTTTGGATGGGCTTCTCATTCATGCAGAGAATGAATCGGCGCTCATGCATACTTTCTCTGCACAATAAATAATGGGAGAGACGCAATGTTTGCCCACATTTAGCCCCAAATTCTCTTTATTTGCTTTGACTAAACGTAGCTAATGCATAAGATATGCAGGTGGCAAAGAGTTAAATAAGGGGCCGCGCTATGTAAGAGAGACAAATCTCGGCTTTTGTTTGTTCGAGAGTGGCAGATAGGGCGCGGCAACCTTTGATTTTGCGTGAGTGGATCAGCTCCTGATTAGCTTGGAAATTTGATTTTAAAAAGAGAGAATTTTATCTAGAGACGAAATTGAAACGTTGTCTGTTACACAACGAGAAGAGAAATTATCATTAAAACTAAAAGGATTTTTCATAAGTGCTCTATCTCTATTTGATTATAGTTGTGAAATTTAAAATATAAAAAGTACAAATTGAATTTAATGAGCGGAATATAATATGAAAGCATCTAAGTTACATTTAAATAAGTACAGACCTAATAAGTAAGAAAATTCGTGACTGATTTATCCATTTTTATTTTTTTAATTAGTTTCCAGTCTAAAAAAAAAAAACATTGTAAAATCAATTTCTAATTTTTGGTTTATGATTTTCGGAAAAATTGGAAATTTTTACTTACGAAGGGCAAGTGGCAAAGGGTGACAGTGAGGCCGATGGCGAGGGGAATGGAGCCCTTGACATCTCCGCGACGCTGGTCACAAACACTGTGCACCACCAACACCAGGGTGAAGGTGATCAGGGCCTCTGCCAGGAAGCCTTGCAGCGGCGTGATCAGGGGTGAGATGTTGTTGATGCCCAGTCCATTCTGAGTTGCTTCCGGGGTGATCACCTGCATTGAAAAATCACAAATGTGTTTTATAGAAATTGCTCTTGAAACGAGAGAAATTAGAGAAAAAAATTAACAATATTTGTCAAACCCAAGAAAAACGTAAATAACTTCAAATTGCAGTTTTAAAACTTAACTTGTTTGGAAATTTTTCGCATGATTTTGAAATCGACTTCGAAATTTTTTTGTCAATGAAAACTCAGTTTTGCGATTGAAATACATTACAACAATGTTTGCTTAAGTTTTAGAGCTTTACTTGCTAGATATTTTTAAACAATCTTTATTTCGCAGTATTTGCGTTGTACAACTTATGAAATTATGAATTTGTGGAAAAGTGTTTTTAATAAATATAGCTTATTTGGAAAATTTGAAGATACATAAATGCATAAGACGCAGCAGGGTAAAAACTTTATGCACAAGAATCAACTAGGATTTTGCAATTTCCAACGATTCTTATCATAGTTTCATATTTATGGAAAAGTTCTCAGAAGGTTTAAAAAATATGTAGAGTGATAACGCAAAAATTTATTTGTCGAAATACATTTCTAGAAAAGGCTTAATTATGTTATGTTTCATGTAAAACGCTGTTTTGTTTTTGCAATTTAATTAACTGCCTTTTACTAGGAAATAACTTGTTTTCTTTCAACGATTTTCACACGGTTCTGGAATTTGGTGGGTTATTTTATAATTTCACCAAAATTTCTAGGTCGTAGTGGGAAGTAAACAAACAATCATTACGCTTGGCGGCACAATGAATGTGATGCGCATAATAAATTGCAATTTCCTTCTTCTGCGCTGACATTGGCCTTGCAACGAAAGCAGAATGTTTTTGTGGCAGAGCGCAAAAGCACGACTCGCGTTCTCAGTTGCACCACGCAAATACGATGGAAAGTCTGCGCGAATTATGCAGTAAAACGATTAGCCTTTTAACTTAAATTAGCTCAATGGAGCGAGCGAGCGAGCGAGAGGCCAATCGCAGAAGAAAAAAAGAAATACTGACCTTGAGGACAGCCGAGCCGGCGACGGCGCCGATGCACTGCACCACGATGTAGAAGGCGGCTTTCAAAAGGCTGATGTCGCCGGTGACCAGCATGCCGCAGGTCACCGCCGGGTTGATGTGACCTCCGCTCACGTGACCGATCGCCTGAAAGAAAACGCAGGCACAAAATTAATCAACAAATTTTTGGATTGTAAAACACCAAGGACAGACTTTTTCCAGGAATATGTATTTAAAATGCAAATTTCGAAATTAGCACACAATAAAATTGCTGTCCAATTTTACAGCAACTCCCAAGTTATTCAAACTCAATATAAAAATTAAAAATGTCATTCATTATTTGCAAGCAGGACTTAAAAAATATCGATTTAAATTGAAGGGAAAATGCTTATTTAAAAAAAAAATTACCTGATTATAACATTTAAAATCAATAAAATTAATTAATAAAGTGACTATAATAAAATTGATTTGTGCAAAATCCATAATAATGCTTCTAAAAATTATCAGAGCTCATTGTTGGTGCCTGTGCCTGTAGATTTAAAGCCGTGTATTGTAGAATAAAACTGATCTTCCTTTTAATTAAAAAAAATATAAGTAAAAAAATAGAAAACCGTTATCATCTGAGTAAACAAATTTAATTATCACTACAAGTGATAAAAAAAATGAATATTAAGTAAAATAATCAAAGAAAGACAAGATTTGCTACAACAAGGTTTGATATATAATAAATTTCAAAATTTAATTTATATCTTTCTTAATTGAGATTAGCTATGTATAAGAAACTGTAAAATTTTGTGCAATTGAATTAAAGTAAATCCATTTTTCCCACCTTTATTTTCTGCGTGTTTCATTTAGATTTACGCTATTTTATCCTACAATTTTTAGCGGCGCAGCTGACTTGGAAGGCTAAACAAGCAATTTGTCTCTGATTTCTGAAGTTCCACATAAATCACTGTTGCCTGTGATAAAAATTCAAGCCCTGAGAGAGTGAGTCCCACGCAACTGTCTGCACCAAAGCGAGGAAATTTACAACGCGCCAAATCGCTTTTTCGAAAGTGCAGAAATTGTGAAAGGCATATATTTGCAATTTTGAGTGCGAAACAAAATGATTTTGTGTACAAGAAACGCGTCGATTAATTCGTTTCATGAAAGGCCACTTTTGTTCTGCAAAGATATGAATAAATTCACAGTTGTGAAATTGGCGAGGGAATGCAATTAAAAGTGGCCAAAAGAATTAAAAGTCACGCGGAGAGTCAGCAGAATTGTAAACCAGATTTGCAAAATTCTCGTAAACAAGCGAGAGAGAGAAAGTGATTAAATTGAGTGCTGGTCATTGTTACACATTTGCTCGTTTCTTTACAGTCAGAGACACACGTGCGAATTTAATTCACGCCTGCAAGTAAAGCCCCGGGCCACTCAAAAGGATGTAGTATCATATCACACTCTTGCATAGACTAAATTAAGTTCCATTAGGCGAGAATGATAGCTTTTTTCTGACGCAAATTTTCGAAATAATATATAATGATAGAATGTTCCATGCAAAGTTGCCTGGGGGCCCCGATTCGTACGAAAAACGACCTTCAATTTTACCTCTTTTTGGTAATGGAGATGAAAAGCTCACCCACTTTGGCCGATTTTGCAATAGTAATCTGGTTTTATTATAAAAAATAAATAAATATAAATAAATTAAGTAAACTCGATGAATTGTTTAAAATGTCACGCTTTTTATCAAATTAATTTAAACGTAACTAGCTATTTTATATATACTGTTTAAAAGTAATTATTCATTGTTTGTTGAAATTTATTTCGGCCTGTGGAGGAGCTTACAATTAGTGACATAACACTTTATTGCGGAGCGATGTTGAACAAACTGATAGTGTGTAACTGATAGGCTACTGCACGAGCAAAATAAAACGCTACAATGTGTGACACAGTAAGCAACTCGGCAGCTCAAACAGACGCAAGCAATGAGCAGATAAGGGAATCGTAGCTCATTGAATAACAATTTTACAATTCTGACCTACATCTGAGCAAAGTTCAATTCGGTTCCCAGCAGCCGAGCTCTGTTATTATTTATTGGTGTGTCTCTATTATTAGCGAATTGATGGTATTTAATTAAAGGACGATGGGTGGATTTGTATTAATAGCCGGTCAAGGTTTTCGCGCCGCCCCCAGCTGAATAATAACTTTTTGAATAATTGTGATTACTATCGATTAAAATGCATTAAAAAATTTTGAAAAAATGCAGTTTATAGATGATTAAATAATTATAATAAAGCTTTTAATGAGCATGAATGAAAACCTCTCAGAATAAGTAAGGAAATGAAATGAAATATAAATAATATCAGCTTAATTAATTCAGGATAGTTTTCCTCAATACAGAGACCAATGGAACGCAGAGGTCACGAGGAGTTGATTTCTTATAAAAGGATTGAATTTGTTTGAGAAGTTTTTGTTTTTCAAGAAAACAAACAATTATAAAAATTAAGTGACACAAATTGGTCCGAAAAGGTTCTCCACTGCAAGATTCATGCAGAGTTGCAGAGACAACTATGATACTTAAAAGATCCGGTTACCAGGAATCAATTTTTATATAACAATTTTTAAGTTAAAAGTATTTCATTTGTCAAAAAGAGTCGACTGGCTACTTTTTTTAAACGGATTCCTATTTTTCTTTCTAAGGTTCATTGGCGATCAGCTTATTGTGTATGCCAGTGTTCCACCTCAATTAGTTTTAAAATTTAAAGAAGAGCGAAAATAAATTATTTTTATAAATTTGCTTAATTGGCCGATGAGTTTAATTAATCTTAAGTGATACGGAAGCCGATTCATATGTGTTGTTGAATGAATCGCAGTTGCAAAACAGTGTGTTCGAGTGCGTGAGACGGTGGTTGAGAGCGGCCGGTGCTCCTTGATGGCGCATTTCACGGTAGCTTAAGCACGGCACGCACTCAAGCGTGTCCGTCCGCAGACTTTGGCAAAATAAACACCTCATAACTCTCGCCAGCCTTCACATCCTATCAATTAGGATAGGCCGCGGCATGGCAAAGCCTTTCCAGCTAACCAGGTCGGATTTCTCGCCTAATTAAAAATGAAATCTTTATTTTTTGGGATCTAATAATTTACTGCTTATCGATTTATTTCTCGATTGCTAATTAGTTTATTCAAGATAAATCAATTCTAATATTTCCTCCATTTAAATAATCATTGATTAAATTAACTTTAAATCTTTTGTTAAAAAATAGCTTAAAGAGGTGAGTTTAATTTTCTCTTAAATGAAAATGTTAAAAGCAGCTGGAAGAAAGTATGATTCGATTAGCAAATGATTTATGTGCTGGGCCGAGACCGGTCAGTGAAGATAATTTTCTCACGCTTTCGATTGATAATTTAATGACGCCGGCGGCCGTCGAAGTTTGTGTGGCAAAAATTATGAATGGGCAGACGACAAAGAAAAATAGCACACATTTCTTTTTTCTTTCTTCGCAACGTCTGGTAATGAGTGGCCCGCGGGGTCGAATTGTATATTGTACAAGTGTGGGTTGGTCGCGGAGATGTCCTAATTCGAGAGCGTGACGTCACATTTTTATATAACTGAGGCAGGCGGCGGCACCTTCTTTTCGTTTGCAACCTGGCCGAATTGACTATGTGTGTGTGTGTGTGTGCTGCACTGCAGAAATAATTGTGTTCCAGCGGCACCACACTTGTCAGCGCGCAGTGAAAGTGCTTTTTTTTATTCTCATTCGCCGGGCGGCCGGGACACAAAAGAGACGCAGCTCCACAAAAACATACACGTAATCTGCATTCAAATGACGACGAGCTGCACCCATGCGATTATTTCATCCCGCCGGCGCAGACAGACACAACAAACAAACTTTTCCTTTTCAAAGCTGCTATCGTCAGCTATTTTTATGTAAAAGTTATATAATCTGCAGAGCAAATCAGATTGTCTTAAATGGGGTGAAACCCTTCTCAAAATAATTGCACATTCCATAATCCTATCATAACTTATTTAGATGATTTATTTTACTAGCTTTTTTCAAACAAATTTTCTGACTGAATTGGGTAGTTTTTAGCTTCCCAAGTTGCCCGCAGTTTATAAATTTTAAAATTAAACACCCTACGCTTCGTTGAATCTAAATAATCTTTAAAAAAAAAAAACGCAAATTTTGTCTCATAAATTTTTATGAACATACAATCAATATATATCTCAAACGTAGAACTTCAATCATCAGAATGTTTCCACCTTCTTTATTTGACGCGATAAAACTTTAGAAAGGAAATTAATATTCAGATTTTTTTTCAACTACTGCGTGAAAAGAAATACTGTTTTCGTTAGCAATTCTTGACTCAGATGCTTTGACTTGTTGTGGAGAAATAAAACGAATTGAATTGAATTCTCACCTTTTTTTTGGAAAATTTTAACCACTTTCTATTTTACTTTGTTTGAAATTTTTGGACGGTCACTATTGAATTTTCGTGTATTTTAAAATCTTTCACATTATTTTGTGTAGTATGTAAATTGTAAATGTGATGTAAAGTTATTTTCTGTGATCAAAAAAGGTGTGACCGCAGATTCGATTTCAGTACCTGCGGCAAAGGTCCCCTTGCTCTGCACACGTGTGCCCCAATATTACAGATCGCGCCGCGCGTCTATTTATTTTCAATGCCCGCCCTCTGCTCTCTGGGAGTTTTGTAACGAGAGAGACCGACTACTTTCCTATAAGCATTCACACGGTCCCGGAGGGCCCCGGGGCCTTTTTTGCTGCGCCGGCGACCACCATTAGCGAAATCCACACTGCGCGAATTAAGAGACCCAAGATGCGCGATCGCCCGCTGGCTGCGACTCATCTTGCACCAGACAACCATAAAAGTGATTTGCTCGAAAAAGTAAAAAATTGAAGCACAAAATATTTGCTTTTGTGCTTACGTAATTTAGTTAATTGGATGGATCATTTGAGAAAAATGACTCGCAAGGAAAAATTCTATTTTTGGAGATTTCAACGCTCCTGTATTTCATCATTGATGCATTCCTCGTCCAAAACCATTTATCATATAGAAATCTTCCAATTTGCAAATCAAGATATTCCAATATGTTTTAAAATCAAATTAATACTGATTCATTTTTTTTTTCATATCTCTTAAGATTTCTTACCCTTAAATATTAAAATTTGTTTGAAAGAAATATAAAAAGTCGGAAAAATGGGAAAAAAGCACCACTTTTAGCAAGAATTTTGTTAAAACTGCTGAAATTGTCCAGAATCATCATCCACTGATGCACTTGATGCAGTGAGTCTCAGTTGACTCATGCGATATTATATATTTTTAGCAGGAAAATGAGTCAAATTAAAAAATTACTTATAATTCAATTCAATGAGAAATAATTTTTAGGACAGCCACTCATGAAATTGAATTAGTGTCATTTGCAAGGGTCACTTGTTTTGGAACGAGAACCATTAAGCAAGCGCTTAATAAAGGGCAATTTGGAGTGATAATGAGTCGATCGCCATTAAATTGTTCTCGTTTCCAAGCCGGTCGGTTAATAATATTCTTGCTCGCTCACGCGGCTTCCGTTCTAAATTGAAAAGAGCAGAGATTTCTGCCTTCAATTATGCGCGCAAGGCGGCCGGCCGGCGGGTTTGGAAAGAGATCGAGGTTGCTATGTTTTTAAGTGGAACGCGACAAGAGGCCGAGAAAGATCTTGCGAGGCGAGAACCAGAAAATCATTTTGACAACTTTCCACGGCGCCGTTTCGGGTTTTCGGCAGGAAGAGGATACTTAAAATGTTCAAATTATATACTTTACAAGTAGCAAATGTGAAATTTCGTTTGGTGCTCCTCCAATTTGAACGGTCCAGAGGAAATATCTCAGTTTTAGTTATTTCATCTTCTGTATTTTATTGTTTTGGGGTCAGTTCATAATTATTTTAAAATTTAATCTCAATATTTTACCCTACGACTTTTCTAGTAATCTTTAATCATTTAAAAAAAAGTCGTAAATTGTGGGAAATTAAATTTTCAATTTTATTTTTAATATCCTCTAAAAATTCAAAAACTGTCTTGAAAATCTGCTCCTAAACAGTGAAGATTAAGGGAGCTAAAAAAAATTAAAACAAAACAATATTTTGAGCGTTGTTAAAACGATAAGAAATTTTAGTGTCAAATTTGACCAAACAAACGGAGTTGCATGTTTTTGAAAGGTCGTTAAATTTATAATTTCATTTAGTGTTTCCTCCTATTTTTGTAGACAAAATTCTGCAAAAAGAGCCAACAAAATTCATTCCAAATTTTTCAAAATAGTAGCGTTTATTTTTACAGTAAACTTTAATTAATAGTTGTGGGTATTTAGCACTTGTGGTCGAAGTAAGTTTTGATGGAAGAAAGAATCTGCAGACTGGCTTTTGCTTTGCCGGCGGCTGATCGACCTTAGCGGAGAAAGCACGCAAATTAAAATGTGCGCTTGTGTAACACGTAAATTATTGCAGAACGCGAGCGAGCGAGCGAGTGAGCGAGCGCGCCTCAAAGTCTCTCTGTAGTTGGCAAAAAACCCGTCTTGGCAGCTTTTGAATGGGATGTGTGTGTGTGTGTGTGTGTGTGTGTGTGTGTGTGTGTGTGTGTGACCCATGTGGTGCACACGCGCGCTCTCCGCTGAATCATAACGATCTCAACGCAGCCTTTCTTGACCCATTATGAGCCCACATTCACCAAAAACGATCGACTCGCCTCCATTTAATTAGAGCCCATCAAACTAACTCGCAACCAGCTCGTCTGCTTGCTCAAAATCAACACCATTTACACTAATCCTGAGTTATATGCTTATTTTTTTAAGCGAGTTTTAAATTCCTTTTAAAATTAATCAAGCTCCACAACTGAGACAAAAATTTGAATCTGAACGTAGCCCATATTAAAAAATTAACAAATTATTGACTTTTTAGAAAAACAAGTTGATAATTTGGGAAACCAATGTAGTAAAAAATATTCGAAACTGAGCTCTTAGAGGGTGGGCAAAGTCACATTAAGTTTTGATGAATATTCTTCCAAATGTTACATTCATATTTATTTTTCAAACCAATATTTTGAGGAGATAAATATTTCCATTGAAAATGTTAATTAAATTAATATATGTGGAAACAATTTTTAAATAAATTTGGGAGTTTCCGTCAGTTGTTAAACATGCTTTGGTGCCATAAATCATAGAATTAATATCTTAATGCAAGTGCTCGTACATTTGCGCCTAAAGCAAAGTGGAGTTAATTTCGAACGTTTAGGAGCTGCCGCGGCGACCACGCCTCTTTATCTCTGACTGGTTCAATGAACCGCTCGGCCCCTCATAATTATTATTAACAATTTGTGAGCATTAATTCAGAACGTTTACATATTTCATTTGCGCAACTTCCACGCTTGATTTTTGGGCCGAAAGTGAGCGAGGAGGCGTTGACAGCTGCGTGAATTTGAATCAATTAATTAATTTCAGGATTAGGAAAGTGTGAGAAACATAAATAATAATTTTCTAATCAACAGAATAGATCCTATAATTAATTCATTTGGACAGTGGTTTATAAAAGAAGAAAGAAATTGGGAGAGCAGAGTTTGAGCATGCGGGTATTGTGGCAATCGGAATTTCTGACCGCCAATTTTTGCTAATTGCTCACGATGAGTAGCCGGGCCGGTGGAATTAGTGTCAATGTTTATGTTAATGGAATTGTTTGCTACGTTTTTGAGAGACGAGTATTATATGCACTTTCAATTTGCACTTGACCTCAACGACCCTTGCGCGCGCGGCCTTTCCAAAATCCTTAACTGCTCAGCACGACCATTTTCAAAGTAAAAAGCGCCCAGCCAATAGTGAATTAGCGGGCAATGAGCAAGAGAGACTCATTCATTAATGAAAGCGGATTTGGAGTTTCACATTAGTTTATAAAAGACAAAAAGCATTAGAAAATTATTTGAGGAAGAAATCTTCCTAATTCTTAACTTAAGAAGTTAATTTAAATTCAATTATTCTTCTGAAAGACAAAAAGTCTTATTAAAGTTAAATTCAGGTTTTCATTGATTTTTATTTTTCAACTTTTTTATCAATTAACATAAAAAACAAAACAATCTCTCAACCTAGGCCAATATACAATTTTTAATTGAAATAACCTAGACGATTTTGTGCTACAACATAAAATTGAAATGTTAAAGAGCAACACGAATCAGATCCGAATCTTGAGCTGAATATTTCGTAACTTTCTGTCTAATTCAATTTGCTGCAAGGCTGCGAGAAAAGTTATCAATCGAGAAAAGATTACAATTCGAGCAGGTGCTTTGGCTGTGAATGCAGGCGTGCAAAATGCAAATTTCACGATTCGTCTCTGGCGGACAAAGATCACGACTCTGCGCATTAGAACTCGGCAATCGCGTGCGGCGGGTTCTCGTCCTGCACGGGAGATAAGGCGTAATCTCTTAATTGCTTTGGCACTTTGATTTCTAGTTCCATTCAAGTGGCCGCGCTCTCAATGAGAATGCAAATCGCGGCCGATTGGATTTGCACTTGAACCGCAGACACAATTTGCTGAAACGCCATAAAAGAGAGACGCTCTTGAACGCTGCAGAGTTGTAAATGTCTAAAATAAAAACGTAAAATTGTACAAATCGCAACCTTCGAGGTGCAAACATCAGGATTTGAAGGTGCATTTGGGAAAATTGAATATGTTTAGATAAAGAGAAGGGTACAAGTACTGTGAATTAAAAGATTATAAAAAAATAATAATTTGAAGGATTTTTTTTTAATTAAGATAAGTCTTTTTTATCAAAACATTCATGTTCTTTAAATTGGTTATTCACGCACTAGAAATTTGATTTGTTGCAATGTTAGTGATAAAAGTCGCTGGCTGATTAATATGTGTCAGATTAAAGCGGTGTTTGCTTTCGCGCACACTTTGAATAAATGCCGTCGGCGCTTGAGAGAGAAAAAAGTAGAGGTCAGCCAACGGGATTGGATCTGATTTTTACACCGCAGAGTGTTGGGAGATGCGCCCATTCGCGGAGTGTGTTATGCAACGTCCTGGAGAGACACTGACCCAAACCGCGATTGCACTTTCAGAGTTAATTTGACGCTAAACCGCAGCAATTGCCGATTTAATTGCACCAACGTTTACACAAATACCCCGAAGCAATTTCATTTCAAAAAATGAATTGAAGCGGTTAAATATTTTTGGTTATTTTCTGGCTCGTTATGGAGAAATTTTCTAATCATAACGGTCTGCAATACGAGGCATTCCAACAAGACGTGCGTGTATGAATATAGCGTAAATATTCTTGCAAAGAAAAGCTAATGACACAATTTCAACTTCTTCATTCCACATGGATGCGCTCAAAGAATTAAAAAGCCTCACGCTTTCGATTAAAATAAAATCTCGCGCACCTTAGGTAAGGAGATAATTCGCATTTGTCGATAATTCCTTTGACACTTGCGTTTTATTTATATTTACTTTTTTTACGAGCGATTTGCACTTGCTCGGCGTGAAAGAGGAGGAAGTTTATCGTAAATTTATTAACACATCGCCTTGATCTTTCAATCAAAACAAAGCTTTTCTAGTTTGTTCTTGGACGTGTCATTTCATGAAAATAGATTGGAAAAAATCTAACGCGTGGATAACGAGGTGGAATGTAAATGCTACACAAGGCTCATGAGAGTCATGAGCATTAACCTCATTTTTTAAAGACAATTCCTTCTTGATTAGTTGCTATTTAATGAGAAAAAATAAATATAATAGACTCCAACAAAACGTTAAAACGAATGAAACAATTTTACTTTTATATAATTTAATTTATCAGTTTGTTTCTCCATTTTATATTTTCAGAAATTTATTTTAGAATAGAAAATTTTTTTGACTAGAAATTTTTTATTTTGATACACTATTTTAACAATAAAAATTTTTGAGATTGAAATTTGAAAAAAGTGAAGTCCTACCTGGACCATTGTGGCGACGGCGAGGCCAAAGGTGAGGGCGATTTGCGACATGGATGGGGCGTAGCCCTCGCTCCATGACGCACTGACACTGGCACAGCCGACGAAGACCAAGAAGAAGGTGCCGACAAATTCGGCGGCCAATGCCCTCCAGATGGTCGCGTCGTCCGTGATGTCCGAGTAGCCGATGATGGCCTTGGCCTTGTTGTCGTTCGACTTGGACATTTTAATTTCTTCTTCTACCCTCTTTTGCACGCGACGTCAAAAGGTGCAAGAATCGAATTCGCGATTCGTGTGAACGGCGACCGCGGCCGCCACTTGCTTTTATAGAGTCGGCGGCCCCCTCTCCTTCGGCAGGTGCTGCTGAGGCCCCACTCTCGCCGTCTTCCTTTTGGACGCTCTTCGCCAATTCGGACGCACAGGAATTCCCTTGTAACCGCGCTTTCCATTTCCATTTCAGGTTTTCTGCAAAATTCCCAAACGAAATTTTGATTGCCCCTCTTGACCTTGGGAAAACCAAAGTAGTGATCTAGGATAAGAAAATTATATTCTCAGATAATTGTTAGTGTGCGTGTGTTTTTTCTGTTCAAATTAGTGTAGAGTAGTGTTTTGTTTGTGTTGTAAAGTGTAAAGCAGTTTCAGGGTATTCCATTCTTTAAAGCCAAGTGTTTCTCGCACAGTTTCAGTAAATCCACGGAAAAAACCTCTTAAGAAAATTATAGTTATAATGCTAATTCTTTTTTAGTTTTTAGAAAAAACTACAGAATTAACCCACTTAATTATGAATCAATCTTGTGGGTTTCAAAATGGAAAATTATAAATCCGTGTTTACATCGTTTACATTATTATTTGGGTAAAGTAAAAAATCTCCTCTGAAATTGTAACTGATGAAAGGGAACTATCGTTGTTTATTTATTAATTTCTTTTTTAAAATTTAAGAACAACATTTTTATCAAAAAAATAGATGTCCAGATATTGCAAATTGCAAAAAATCAAAATAAGACACAAAATGAAATGCCATGAAATTAGGTATACGCGTTTGTTTATTATACTTAACAACTCACAATTATTGAAAAGTTGTCAGGGCGTTAGCAAAAGTTGTCAAAAACCGGTATAAAACATTTTTATATATATTTTTGATGCCTGAAATAATAGTAAAAACAATTTTTTTTTTAGTTTTTACATTTTGTGGAATTATTTAGCCTGGGTTTGCAACTATTTTTTTTTTTTTGTCATAAATGATTTGTTGTATTTCACCAATTTAGAGAAATCCGTGGAACTTCAATTAAATTAAGAATTTAATAAATCGTAAAATCGTGTCAATTTTCATATTGGATAATAGTGATAATCTCTCTGTATTAATAAAAAACAGTTATTTGCGAAATTGAAAACAAGAGAGATTATCTGCACGTCGTCTGGCGAGCAAAATGATTATCACCTGATGCGATGTTTTTGTATTGCAGAACCAGAAAAGTGCTTTTCAGCCGCTTTTCTCTGAATGTTTACTCAAATAATTGAGACGAGCTTGCAAACAGCAGCACTTTTGAAATCGATTAGAACCTCATATTACCAAGATACTCGGCAAATAATATAATATTAAATATTCCTACGAGATGACTTAAAATAAATATCTCAACTATTAGGACAATTATTAACAGGTGGAATTTCACGCATTGTTATTTCTCCTTGGATTGTGTTTCTCGAAGTTCATAACAGCGGATAATTGTCTGTTGGTGGAAACAAAAGCTCACGCAGTTCTGGAGTGAAGAAGGTGTCATTTACCCGAAAAGGGAAAGTGCCAAAGTAGCTGAGGCGCTGTAAAATTAAGAGCAGTAAAATTTCTTCCCCTGAAGAGTCCACGACTCTCCGCACTCAACTAATCATTTTTTTTCTCCACGCGTACTTGAAAAAGTGCAAAGACTCTGAGATTTCACGATGCCCCCGAGAAACATATTAATCTCGATTTTACACTCAGAGATGATAAAAGTGGCATATCAAGCACCTGCTGCTGCGGGCATTCAAATCGCCTGCTGCGAGAGTTTCCAATGTCACTGCCCGGACGTAAACATCAAATGCATCAAACTTGGCACGCACTCGAGGAATAATCATCCTCTTGTTGTCAATGTATGCCTTCTCAATAAGGAAGCCGCTTGTTAATTCACGGTGATTTCTCCTTTACCTCGTGAAAAATTGCCAGAAAATGATTTCTAAAAAAAATTGCACTCTTGTTTCCTTCATTTGAAATTGAATGACTAAGAATTATTTGGCATTTCTTCCACACATGCGTATTAAATTAAAAAATTGAAATTCATCTATTCTTTAAAAAATATTAAGTGAGACTAATTTCTGCTGGTGTGTTAATCTTTACAGAAAAATAACATTTCATGTAATTTAAAAAAATGGACCTTATTCTAATTGATTTTTTTTTATTCACTTTAAAAGAATTATAAATCATATTCATTCAGGATTAATAAGGGTTCTCTCGTTTGAGAGAAGAATAGATTTAAATATGAATGGGAGATTAAATTTCGTGTTCTGGGCTGGTTTTTGTTGGTTCAATCTAGAAAGAAGAAATCGCCGAGTTTCAAGTGAATAAATGTGGAGTGCGACTCACATTAATTTTTTTCACGTTTTTTATCTGCTGGATTAAATCAACAAAATATCGGAATTAATGTAAATTTGGAACTAACTTGCTTTGAAAAGACAAAGCGAATGGAAATTAATTTAATTGTTTCTGACTGCTCGCCCAGTAAGCATTAATTTAAAAGTAGTTATAGTTAAAGCATTGTTAGAAAAGATGAAAACGCGTTCACCTATTATGGAAGATTTGGTTTGGCAAGGTGCGTGTTGGCTGCACCCTTTTCTGCACGGGTCGCGAAAAAGCAATTACGAGAGAGATTGAAATTTGTTATTGCGTGGCGGCCGAAAATGGTCTGCGAGAGACAGAGAAGCAAACCTTGACATTGGCACTAAGGAGATATAATTAATGCGATACTCATCTGCACAAAAGATGGAACCAGTTTGTGCCGGTCAGGTGTGCTTGGGAAATAAATCGGTCCGAGCAACAACCTCCCGTCAGGGTTTTCCTCTCCTGCGAGAGAGATTCCAAGCAGATCAACGCAGGTGTGCAAATACTTGCAGCCCAAACCGAGAATAAATTGATATCAAGTTCAAATAACACAAAAATAATTTTAATTTTTTTAGGCTTTTGATTTTATACAGAGTGGTCGCGATCAAATTTCATTCTTTCCTGACAATAGGGCCCAATTTGATACGCAATTAATATCTGGCGAGTGACAGAGGTTATTTCAAAGTCACCAAAAGAACATCTCCAGAAGTCGCTTCGCTTTTTTACTTCCATATAGGCTAGGGGAAATTTCAAACATTTTTATTAGCATAACCTGACTCTTCTCTCACATCATGAGAAATGGTCATATGCCATCTAAAAAATTAACTTTTATTTTTCTTAGTTAGAAAAAAGGTATGGTTAAAACTGTTCTTTACCTTTTATGTTAGCGATTTATCTTTTTTATAGTTAATTTTGTTAAGAAAAAAAAGATAAGTTTTCTGTCTTGCCATATTCTTTGGTTCGTATTTTTGACGCTCGACTAAATTCCCCTCTCCTTAATTTAGCCAAAGGGTATACTTTTATTTTCATTCCGCAAAAACGAGTTGTGTTACGTAAGAGACGAGAATGAGAAAATGAGCAGAGATCAGAAAGTACTCACGATTTTTTGAAAATGACGCAAGTTTGAGGAGGGCTAGTTGGACCATAATTAAATCAACATTTCCCTTTTTCATTAGAGGGCAGTTGAGAAAAACACGCACGCACGCACTCACTCATCAATTTGCTTGAATTTGTTTGTTGTGGGCGAGCACATCACATAAAAATTACCCATTCAAGGTCTTCAATGAAAACACATTAGCGTCCGCAAAGGAAACAGAACAGTGAAAATTTAATTCAGACGAGAGCAGCACACAATTGAGAGGCTCTTGATAATTGGCCTCTTGTTGAAAAACAAATTCGTATTTTTCCTCTTTTACTTATGATTTTCCACGGAATTAATTATGCATTATGCTTTCCCAGTGTGACTCACTGGCCGCCGCTCAATTTCCTCCTCTCGTTTGCAGCAGATTTGCATGTGAGAAACTTGGTTTTCCTCGAAATCTGTATAGCAAAGAGGAAAAAAGTAATCAATAAATAAATATTTAAATCCTAAATTCTCAAGTTCAAACTTTGATTTTTTTCTTTCTGTTGAATCAAGGCAATTCCTAAAATTTTAGATGCTTTTATTGTCAGTAAAGTTAGTTAAAAAATTGGAAGTGTCTGGAAATCGATTTGAAGTGAAATACTATTGGAAAGGGGAAGATATGATAAACTTTCAGAATGAGAACGGAAAAAGCTAAAATATATTTTGAAATTTTAATTTATTTATTTCCATCCACACCCAACAAGAAAATTTATCATAAATCTTTTTGTCACGATTTAAATTTGTGAGAAAATGTTGATTTAAGTTTTTAAAACCTACTCTCATTTCATTTCTTAATAGGGTTCTCACCACTGCACACTCTCCAGTCTCCAGTAAGATTTTTTACATAAAAAAATCATAGCGTTTTCTTTTTCCCATACTATATTTAAAATTAGCTTTTATCTAATTTAGTAAAACTCAAAATATTCATAATTTGCAAAATAAAAATATGTTTTGAAATTTAAAAAGTTATGCACGTGCCGCACTGATTGTCATAATTTTTGCTTTACGATTCAGTGCCGGCGTTTGTTTGTTGAAAGGTCACGGCATTGCGTGCTGCTGAGCGACGGACCAAGTTCGCGATGTGACTTATCGGCTGCATGCAAGAAAGAATGGATCCTTCCTTTCCACTGCAACTCGCGTACCCGGAATGCAAATGAATGCAATTTACGATTATATTCTTCTTCTTCTTCCTTCCGCGCGCCAAACGACAATAAATAATAACACAAAGAATGGTACACGTCAGAAGCAGCAAGAAGAATTGTTTGTTTTGTTTGTGTGTACTTTGCTCATTGTTTTATTGATCCTCCGTGTCGCGCATGTTGATTGCATTGACACCCTATCACCACGGATTCAAGTGCAATATCAATTTGAAGAATAAAGCTCTATTTGGAATTTTAATTAGACGGACAGAAATTCGAAAGTGATTGAAATGAAAAATTAACTAATTGAGCCGAAATGACGAAATAGCAGGGCAGGGTAATAAGTTTAAATAAAAAAGTGCACCTTGAAATGCGAGACCCGCGCTCTCGCTAATGTCAATGACAAAACAATGGAAGAAA